TCAGCTGACAGCCTAATGGGAACTGCCTTGTAGGTAACTAGCTGCCTTTCTCTTGCTGCTTTTAAGATTCTCTCTTTGTCTTGAACCTTTTGCATTTTGATGACTATGTGTCTTGGTGTGGGCCTCTTGGGGTTCATCTTGTTTGGGACTCTCTGTGCTTCCTGGACTTGTATGTCTGCTTCCTTCACCAAGGTAGGAAAGTTTTCTGCCATGATTGTTTCAAACAGGTTTTCGATTTCTTGTTCTCTCTCTTCTCCTTCCAGCACCCCCAAGATGCAAATGTTGGCACGCTTGAGGTTGTCCCAGAGGCTCCTTACACTATCCTCATTTTTTTGGTTTCTTTTTTCTTTTTCTTTTTGCTGTTCTGATTGGGGATTTTTTGCTTCCTTATATTCCAAATCAATGGTTTGCTCCTTGGATTTACATACTCTATTATTGAAGCTGTGTACATTATTCTTTATTTCAATTAATGCCTCCTTCAATTCTAACTGTGTATTCATGATTTCTAACTGGTCCTTTTCTATGCTCTTGAGGCCCTCACTGAGTTCACTGAGCATCCTTATAAGCAGTATTTTGAACTCAGCATCTGTTAGGTTACTTATCTCCATTTCGCTTAGTTCTTTTCTTAGGGTTTTGTTGTTCTTTCATTTGGGACCTGTTTCTTTGCCTCCTCATTTCCGCTGCCTCCCTGTGTTTGTTTCTGTGTATTACTTAATGAGCAGTATGGGGCTAGCTGAGACCAGATGTTGCTCGTTTGAAAGAATTTAGGAAAACCTGAAGCAGGATCCAAGATAGGCCAATCCTATGGTTAAGCAAGTAGCAACAGCTTGGGTGGGCCTGAAAGTTGGGTGGGGCGGGGCAGGGCCTCAGGGAGTCACCAGGGCGGGGCCACTAGTGTGAGCCAGGTTGCTGGAGTCCCAGATATGGCAGCTGTCTGCCGCCCCAGAGAAGGGCTCACCAAAGGAACAAAGGCCTCTTACAGTACGTTTGTCCCGGAGAAAGCCCCCTCTCCAGCCCTCGCTCCAGTGCCAAACAGCTCAGTTCTTCCCTGTCTGTCTCTGGTGCCCCTCGAGCTGCCTCCCCTCCAAGTTTAGAGGGAGAGAGTCCCATAAGTTCGTGTGCGAGCCCTTTAAGGAGCTGCCTGGGGCTACAGCTGCTTCAGCTTCCCTGAATCTTAGTTCCCACTGGTTTTTCCAGCTAGAAGTTATGGGGACTTCTCTTCCTGGCACTGTAACCCTGAGCGGGGCACCTGGTGTGGGACGGGGACCCCTCAGTCCTCAGGAAGGACCTTCCCAGCTGAGGTGTCCTCCTGATTTTTATCCGCCACACGTGGGTGTGGGACCAGCCCGTCTCGCCACTGCCCCTCGCACCTCCGCCCCTCCGCCCCTCCTACCAGTCTCGATGCAGCTTCTTTAATTCCGTAGTTGTAGGACTTCAATTCAGCTTGATTTCAGGCGGTTTTGAATGATGGTTGTTCTGTAGTTTAGTTGTAACTTGGATGTGGTTGTGGGAGGACGTGATACTGCGTTTACCTATGCCGCCATCTTGACCGGAAGGTCTTCTCTCTTTCTTCTTTCCTCCCTCTCTCCCACTCTATCTGAAGATAAATGCAAAAATGTCCTCAGGTGAGGATAAAAAAAAAATGTCAACTATTATGTTATATATTTTTTACCACAATTAAAATTAAAAGAGAAAAAACAAACAAACTGAAGCTGCAATGCCTCTTGAGGTCTAAGTTCAGAACTAGCCCAGCATCAGCCTTGAACAAGTGAGAAAGACAACTCAGATTCAGGTGATGAGGAAACTGACTCCACCTCTTCAAAGAAGGAGAGCCACAAATATTATTGCCTTATTTGCCCTCTATGAGAAAAGAATGAGGTCTAATTTACATTAATCAATATTTACAACACATGAATTTTGAGTCCAAATTTTGTTATGACTAAATACTGAGAGGGAAAAAAAGTATTTCAACAAATTTAAATATGCAAAACTTGACTCTGAAGAAATGACAACCACAAAAAACATCCCAGTGATAGACTCAACAGTTGGTAAAAATGGAGCAAAGGAACCTGATTAATGAATCAAATGTTTACTTCAAAAATTACATGGACAGGTTCAATTCCCAGTCAAGAGCATGTACCTGGGTTGCAGATTCAATCCCTGGCCCCAGTCCGGGTGGGTGCAGAAGGCAACCAATTGATGTGTCTCATTTCAATGTTTCTCTCCCCCCCCCCCCTTCCTCCACTCTCTCTAGAGTTTGATTGGGAAAATATCCTTGGGTGCGGATTAATAAACAAACAAAAATCACATAGAAAAAATGGTTTCAATCAAGTAAATATAAACTTTGAGATCAATTTGGAAATGGTTTAACTGCACTGAATAGAAAAGTGATCCAGGAATCTAAATTGGCTAAATGCAGTTTATGATTCAAAAGTCATTCCAACAAAAGTTTGCTGGATTTTTCTTTCTACTGTGCTTATAAAACTGGAATCAAAGTGTTCCCTGAATAAAACTATCTTCTGTGTGGAAATGGCAGTGTAAGAATGAAAGGGTCAAGTGTCCTAATGCATCTTCCTGGTGTTTGATTTTATTCCCTAGACACCAGATGTCCCTATCTCCAAGGCAAGGCTCAGAAACAAACTGGTTATAACCTCTTTCTGGGGGATCCTTGTACCTCTGCAGTTCCCTTTGTCTCCCACATCTTGACTACTAGTCCAGGTTTTTCTGTTCCTCTGAAGTTGTGGATCACACCAAACTGTTCTTTCCTGAGAGAAAACTTCTGGAAACAAGGACAAACCCTTAGACTTTGGCTCTTATGATGGCTCCTCAGTCCTCTACATTCAGGGATTGTCCCTTGCCAGTTCCTTGGCCCTCACCATATCCTGATGTCACCATTGATTGCCCTCCTGACTTAACACCTTAAGTCCTGTCTCCAACCATGTCCTTGGAGATCTTCGACACCCTCTCCAGGCCCACCAAGAAATCAGGGGACAATGTCCATAAATTCAAACTCACCAAATCCAAAGTCACCTTGTGACTTTCTCAGGACTATAGAATGCCCAACACATAAGCTGATTTTTTTAAATGTTTTTATTGATTTTTAGAGAGAGAGAGAAGTACTGATGAGAGAGAAACATCCACTGGTTGCCTTCTACACGCCCCTTACTGGGGATGGAGGAGGCAACCCAGGCATGTGCCCTGACGGGAAATCAACTGGTGACCTCCCAGTGACCTCCTGTTCATGGTATGATGCTCAATCCACTGACTTAGCTGGGGCCATAGCTGACTTTTAAAGGAAGGAAGTAAAGATCTGTTCTTTCAGAGAAGGAGGAGGAGGGAGAGGAGGAAGAGGAGGAGGGAAAAAAAGAATATGAGGGAGGGGGCTATGGGCTTGTGAGGGAGACAGAATGCATTTTTTTTTTTTTTTTACCACCTGAGTTTTTAGAAATATTTATATGTTTTGGGGCTTTTCTTAACAGTTGCAGATTTTTCATAGATACAATGTAGATTGTAAGAGAGGGAGACAGGGAAGACATAAAGAGGCAGAGGAATAGTATTATAGTAGCAGAGAAAGTATAGACAGGGACAAAATGTAAATGAGACAGTGCAGAAAGGCAGAGAAAGATGGACAAGGACAGGGAGCAAAGGGATGTCAGCCATTGCTCCCCAAACCATACAGAACTTTCTACTATTTAAAAGGTTGAGATCTAGACCCTAGAAGGTCCTGGAATGCCCCACTCTGGGTCCCAGCCCTCCTGTTCCCAATTATCAATCTCAATTCTGAATTTATGATGTCACCTCTTGTGATAGGGTACTTCCCTGCCTCACCCTTGCTGGGCCAATCCCTGCATCTTGGAGTGAAAACATGTCCTTTTTGCTAAGTCTTGCCTGCTGTCAGTGACTGTCCCTACATATCTTCCCCAGTTGGAGTGACCCCCCGCCCTTCCGTTTCCTGTTGAAGAGTCTTGGGCCCACTATTAATTTAATCACTCATTCATCAAACATTTATAAACAGTTCCCATGTGCAAGTCCGCTGTTCAACAATGCTGGGGACCCAGCGAGACCCGACTTAGGCCCTGCATGATCCTTCACCCCCAGCAGCCATCAGTCCGGGGAGGTTGGGGTATGAAAGGGCCATGTAAGCAGTGATAACACAGCCTGATCAGAGTTTTAATAGGGGAACATAAGGCAGTGTGAGCCTCAGAGAAGATACTTAACCAGGCCAAACTAGACTAGGGCAGACCAGCCAGAGTCCTCGGTGTGGCTTCCGCCTCCAACAGCCCCGCCCCCAACACAGAGCCTGTCTCTAAGAAGATGCTCTCCATCACCTCTCCTTCAGCTTTAGAGATTTCTGGTAACGCCCCTTCTCAGATCCACCTCGTTAGCCTCTCCCCTATCTGGCCCCGCCTGTCGCTGTCTAGGCCCCACCCCTTTAGCCCCGCCCCTACGTCTTTCAACGTAGGTTTCAAGCCCCACCACCGGGAGGTTAACCTCACATTAAATCCCATTGGCCACAGAGTGTTACTTCACTGCCCTCCTTTCGTTGTCAATCTTCTTTATAGAGTCCCAACAGTTGCCATGGCTTGGTTTGAGGGGCAGACGACAATGTACATCTCAGGGAGCCTCGTTATTGGGCAGAAAGCACGGTTCTGGGCGGGGCTTAAAGCCAAACGCTTGGCTGCCTCAGTCGGGTTCGTCAGGGCCGTAGCCTTCTCTCAGAGACACACCCCTCTTTCCTCGCTATTGGCCCTGTCAGGTGTTGATCAACAGAATTCCACATTTCGATAGGCAAAACCATCCGTCCTTCACTGCTTCCCTAATTTCGATTCGCTTCTCTCCTCAGAGACGGCAACGTTTTGACCGTAGCCAGAGCCCCCCCATCACGGACTGGCCACGGATTGGCTAAACGTCCCGTCACTCCTGGCCGGTGGGCGGAGCCAGGGTAACGGGGTGGTGTATTGGCTGACAAGGCTTCGGAGGCAGGGCAGCGGCTCCTGTCAGCGGGTGAAATGGCAGCTGCGGAGCCCGCGGCAGCAGCGGTCCCAGGGGACGGCTGAGGGAGCGGGGCAGGAGCTGCGGAGCTAGCGGCGCGGCGCGGATCCGGCTGTGGGGCCCGGGACGGAGAGGCTCGGCACGGCGATGGAGGCGCGCTCGGCGCAGGTAGGGAGGAGGCGTTATACCGGGCGCCTTTTCAGGCCGCCGGCTCCGTGCTGCGGCCTGCGGGGGGCCGGGCAAAGCCCAGAGTCGGGCTGCCTCGCCCTGGAACCCGCTCTGGGAGCCCTCTGCACTCCCAGCATGGACACTGGCCGCCATCAACCTCGGGCCCCGACCTCCGCCCACACGACGCTTCCCGACTTCTCAGTGCCCTTCCCCGGACCCTTCCGGAAACCGCCCCGCACCCCGCCCCTCTCGGGGAGTACCCCTCAGGCCCGTGACCCTCACCCACCCTCTTTACTGACTAGGACCCCTCCCGGGACCCTTCAGGGCCTCCCCCAGCCCCCACCCCGCAGATCTGCTCCCCGCGGGCCCAGGACACCCCCCACCCCCACCTATCCTTTAGAATCCCTCCCAATTGCAGACCCCTTACCACCCTGTCCCTCCTCTCATTTCCCATCCTGTCTCTGGGCCTAGACCTGCCCCCACCCTCAAGGTTACCAGCCTCAAAGTCCTCCTTGCTCCTCCCTTCTGACCCCACAGGACCCCTGCTTAGACTCTGTAAATCAGGATTCCTGTCCACAGGCCTCACCTCAGTTTGCTGGCCCATCTCCTACACTCAGCACCCCTGAAAAATACTCCTGGGGTCCTCCCAGCACACTCCATTAGCTCCACACACACCAGTCATCCTGACCCATCTTGATCCCTGCTTCCTGAAGTCTACCCTTACCTCATGCCCAGCACTACCCTCAAGTTGTTCTGAGAGCCCCCTACAGCACACACACGCGCATACACACACACACGCCCCTAAGAACCAACAGTTCTCAAACAGAGATACCATACCCATGAACACCCCCACACCCACAAAAAACACATACTGACAGGCATCCTGGCACCCAACACAGACATTCAGGAGCCACTGACATGCACACACACACACAATCAGACACTTGGATCCCCAACATATACAAAGAAATTCAGGACCTCCAACACAGACCAGGCATTTGGTACCCCCCAACACACACACACACATACATACTCACTTTCACACAGGGCTCCTCAACACCCCTTCTTGGACTTTACCTTCCCAGGTCCTCCTGGAGTCCTAATGCTTCCAGCTCTGGCAAAGACTCAGGTATGAGCGGACTGCCTTGCCCCAGGTAGTCAGTCTGCCCAGCCATACCAACCTCCCTGAGCTGGCACCCCTACTGGGACCCTGGAGGTGGTAGGGTGACCCAAAATCTCCTAGCACCCCTGTGGATACATGCTGCAGGCCTCTTCTCCTTTATCCATCTCTCCCCACGTTGCCCTTCTTCCAAGGAAAAGACACTCTCATTCACCAAAGTCCCCCTAAAAGAACCCCTGCCTGCCCCCTGATTTATGCCACCCCATGGTGAAGAAGGGAAGTTCAGACTGCTTCTGGTTCTGAAGTCTGACCAGACTGGTAGGACCAGCATGCTGACCCAATCACACCCACCCGCTGGCCTCAGATGGCAGGACCAGTGCTGCTGTCCATGGGCAGCTCCTGATAGTCCATGTAAGTTCTTTCACCCACAAGTGTATGTTTTGCCAAAATGAAACAGTTTCCTCCTCTCCTGCCATGGGGCTGGGTTTAGGACTGCCAGAAGCAGACAGCTCTTTGTTAAGGAATATTTTCAGAAAGGGAAAAATGTCCACATGTCTTCCTGGGTTGTGTTAGCTCTTCCTGCCCGTCCTGCCACCCTACTGCCCTTGCCCTTGGGTCCAACCTGTGGTTTCTCTGAGCTTCTGCAGTTGACTGCTGGTGGCTTTTAAGAACTACAGGTGACTTGGCCCTGGCACAAGAATGAGGTGAGAGAGACAGAGAAGAGCAGATTACAGAACTGGCAAGCTGGTGTGGCCAGACTGCAGGGAGTAAGGTGGAGACCTGGGTCCCCCATGCAGATACCAGATCAGTCTAGCTACCCTGCATTGCCTGTCTGGACTCCTTCGAGCTACACAGGCATTCCTAGAAAATCCCAGGTACATAGGACCAGGCTTCTTTGTGGATATTCACCAGTGGATTCTGGATGGCCTGGAAAAAAAAGCACGTCTTGGCTTGGGGCCTGAACTTCATCTGGAAAATGGGGTGATCAATTCTTAGAACAATAGTTCTTACTGCAGGGGAGCTAGTGAGGTTAGAATGTGGCTTTGAATGTCCCCTGGGCACCGTGTGGAAGGAGTCCATGGAGTCTAGGGAGGGCAGTAGCCCATCTATAGGTGCTAGGCAGAATCACGAGCCACCCTGGTTCCCTGGTTGGAATTAGTTGATGCCTCACTCTATAATGACTGTCTCTCTGTGCCAATCTGCCCCATAGGAAGCCAGCTTGAATCAGGGCTGAGAGATAGTCTATTGTGTAGGGGGGCAGAGGGCAGTAAGGGGCCTGCTTGCTGGCAGTGCCATTCCCGCCATGGACCTCTGGCACTGGGTAGGGAGAGGTTTGTTCTGCCCATTTGCTGAAGGTCATGAGGTACACAAGAAACTAACCAGACAGCCTCCCCAGGGTAGGACCTTGCATGGGGACAGTGGGGTCGGAAAGCTTCCCAGGAGAGACTGAACTCTTTAGGAAAACACAAGAAGGCTCCCAGGGAGGGCTTGTGAACAATGTCAGTGCACTTTTACCCTAGTCTGGGGTACAGGTCTGTGTCTTTGTGTATGTACTTTAACGGGTGCAGGGGCCAAGGGGAAACATAATTTCAACTTCGTCATGCAGAATATAGATACTGATTGTTCTGGGGGAAGCCCCATACCAGGAATTGAGTCAGATACTGGGGTCTGGAGGAATGTCAAAGATGGTCCCTGCTCTACATCTAGAAACCCTGTATACATCTCCAGACGAGGTAGAACCAGCAGTGCACACTGATCAGGCCCATGCCATGTGCTAGGCCCTGTACCAAGTATCTCATTTATTTATTTATTAATTAATTTATTTATTTTTATCCTCACTCGAGGACATTTTTGCATTTATCTCCAGATATAGCAGGAGAGAAGGGGGGAAGAGAGAGAGAGAAACATAGATGTGAGAGAGACACATCTAGTGGTTGCCACCCACACGACCCCAACCAGGGCCAGGGACAAATTGCAACCAAGGTACATGCCCTTAGCAGGAACTGAACCCAGGACTTTCTGTTCCACCAGCTGACGCTCTAACCACTGAGCAAAACCGGCCAGGGCCTAAGTATCTCATTTAATCATCCAGACAACCTGGAGGAACGATGCCCTTACCATCACATCCCGCTGCCTCCTGTGTGGAAGCACAAGACAGAATTATTAATGGCATGCTGCTGGAGAAGCACAGGAAAAGGCCCTGTGCATATCTAGGGTGTCAGGGAAAGCAGAGCAAGAATGATATATGGAGCATTCTAGGCAGCCGGAGTGCTTAAACAGAGGCCCAGGAAGCTGGAGCAAGTGTGGCAAATTCAGGGAAGCATGCTTCATTTGATGGGATTTATCCTAGAAGCCTTCATGTCTCAAAGGTGATCCATAGTGCACACACCTTGGACACTTCCTGGTCATAGCAATTCATAGTTAGAAGAATCAGAAAAGCAGCAAATCCCACCCGGCTAGGGAAGTCTGCAGCACATGTGCTCTAGATGCCAAATGGAGACAGTGGAAGGAAGGAGGTTAGTTAGAACTAACCCACTGGAGTTAGGAATAAATTGGCCTCTGCTGGGAAGATTTCCAAGGCCCTGTTGGCATAACTCACTATACTTTTCTTCCACTTTACAGTGCACCGGATGTGTCTGTGAGATTGTTTCATCTTTGTCTGTCTCCCACACCAGCCTGTGAGTCCCACGAGGGAAGGGCACGTGTCTGTTCACAGTTAAGTCCCAGGTAAGTCTAGGGCATGTAGCAGATGCTCAGTAAATGCTTGGTTGGTTTAGAACTGACAGTCTTCTCTACTCACTCACTTTTGTAAAAAGGCCTAGATCTCTTCTGCAGAAAGAGGTCCATGCATCAGTCTTGGAGAGCTTCCAAAGGGAGGGCAGACCCACCTCACCTCTGTCCTGACACAGTGCTTTATAGCAGGAACGATACCAGCTTGGCCTTGAAGAGCCAAAAACTTTTGCAAGATAGTGTTTCTTTTATTCACCTGTCCCTGGAAAGCTTATGAGGGCTTTACATTTTTTCTTTTGTCATTTTCAGGGACACTAGATATAGAAAAATTAGAGATTTGCTAGGAATGAACCTGTTTTGGTATCAGAAAGTGAGCTGGTGACAATACAGGGTAATAAACTTTTTTTTTTTGGTCAGAAGGGACTCCACAGGTCATAATGGTCCACCCCTCAGATTTTAACCTGAAAGTATTTGCTGCTGCTGCAATTATCAATAAAGATGATTTTAGTTTTACTGAGTTTAGTGTTTAAACAGGGTCACCACACAAGGGTTCAGCCTACTGAGGAGGGCAGATTTGTTTATTTATTCCACAAATATTGGGTGCCTAAAGACACACTAGATGCTGGGATCCAGTAGTGGGTTGGAGCCCCTGCCCTCATGGGACTTTTTACCCAGCAGGGAATAAACGTCATAGGCCAGCTCCTGTTCCAATCATTTGACAGGTTTTTGTTTAGGTATTCCAACAAAACCTGTGAGGTAGGTGGTATCATTAGACCTGTTTCCAGATGAAGAAACTGAGGCAAAGTGCATCGTACCCAAGATCACAGATAGAAAGTGATAGAGGAAAGATTTGAACCCAGGCTGCTAGGTCTGAAGTTCTCACAGGAAGCCAGGAGATCTGGGATCAGTTAGCCACACACACAGCCATGATACACGGATGTGGAAACATCCAGAATAACATGGAGGAGCAGCTAGAAGTGGGAACAAGAAGAGGACAGGCAGTGACCTCAGAATTCCAGCTGCTGTCCTTGAAATTCATGGGGCAGCTGGCCCATCAGTTGCCTACTCCTTGCCAAGGAAAAGGACCCAAGACACCAGGACATTTTCCCCAGAGTTGGAGCTAGGCAGGGCCATGGTGCTCTGCTTGGCAAATGGGGTCAGCTAGCATCTTTCAAGGCTTCTGATTCAGAAATGATTCTGTGTCCCCATAATCATTAGAGGTAGAGGATCTGAAGCCAGGGGGAGGGGAGGAGGGAGCCAAAATTAAAGGAAATGAGGCCTTTATTCCTGCCTCTGAAAGATGGCTCATACACACTCACCAGCTCTCCCTGTTAAAAAAAAATAACGACTGCCATTTACTGAGTGCCACTACACTTGGTGCTTCATGTATATTATTTTTAAAGTAAAAGAATACAGAGAGAGTGGCAGCACAGCAATCAATGTAGGGCAAAGACTCAGGAGTCAGAAATACAAGTTTGAATTTTTCTTTCCCTAAAGCCTGGTTGAGGGACCCTTTGAGTGACCTGCTCAAGGTGACACCTCTCATGTGTTAGAGCTGTCCTTCCTGTACTTTTCTGTCTACACTGGTATAGAATCACTTTTTTTATATATATAGAGAGCGGGAGGGAGAGAGGGAGGAAAAGAGAGAGAAACATTGATGTGAGAGACACACCGAGTGGTTGCCATCCACACAACCCCAACCAGGGCTGGGGACAAACTGCAACCGAGGCATGTGCCCTTAGCAGGAACCTAACCCAGGCCTCTTCGGTCCACTAGCCAGCACTCCAACCGCTGAGCCAAACAGGCCAGGGCGAATCACTTTTTTTTTTATCTTTAAAATAGACTTTATTTTTTAAAACAGTTTTAGATTTACAGAAAAATTGAGAAGATAGTACAGAGAGTTCCCACAGACCACACACCCAGTTTCCCCTGTTAGTAACATCCCAGGTTAGTCTGGTACCTTTGTTATAATTAACAGACTAATGTTGATACATTGTCATTAACTATAACATGCACTTTATTCAGATCTCCTTAGTTTTACCCTAACATCCTTTTTCTGTTCCAGGACCCTATCCTGGATCCCACATGACATTTTATCATCACATCTTAGACTCCTGTTGGCTGGAACAGTTTCTCAGACTTTCCTTGTTTTTGATGACCTTGACAATTTTGAGGACTGGTCAGGAATTTTCTAAAATGTCCCCTAATCTGGATTTGTCACACGTTTTTCTCATAGCTAAATTGGGTGATGTGTTTTGGGGAGAAAGACACAAGGGTAAAGTGCCCTTCTCATCTCATCATATCAAGGGCACATGTTCTTACCATGACTTATTACTGCTGATGTTGACCTTGATCACCTGGCTGAGCAGCACAGAAATTTTTGTCTTCGTATATTCAGCACACATTTATTGAGCACCTAACTAAATGCCAGATGCTGTTTTATGGGCTTGGAGTAGAAAATTTAAAAACCAGGCCCTTGCACTCAGAATTTTCATGACCCAATAGGGCACACGGGCATGTACAGAAGTAATTGCCATAGAATGTCTTGGGCTGGGGTGTAGGGAGTAGATATTTTCAGGGATAGAGAGGAGAAGTGAACCAGGACACTACAGGCGGGTTGTTGACGGGAAATATTTCACAGAAAAAAACTCAAACCAAGTCTTGGAGAATACCTTTCCAGTCAAAGGGAACAGCATGTGCAAAGACAAGCAGGGAGAAGGAGCTGCTCTTTGTTGGCTGAATGTAGAGGGACTGGGATGTGGGAGGAGGTAAGGCTGGCAGGGCTGTATGCACCATGCATAAATGTTTCAGCTCCATGTCTCAGTAGGGAGTGGCTAAAGGGTTTGAAGCAAGCACCAGGAGGGTAGTACCAGGACTAGCCTGAGCCAGTGGATGGCAGCATTGTGGACCCAGGTAGGCCTACCTACAGCAGGAGGAGGGGCTGGCTTTAGTCAGAGAGTTGGCTTAGAGGAGCATCTTCACAGTGGGGATCAGGAGGGTTTCCCTAAGGTGTAAACCCAGTCAGGTTCCTGCCTTGGCCTACAGTACCCTATGGGGTTCTGGCTCCTGCCTAGTCACTCCTGGAGTTGCGCCCACCCCTCCCCACTGCTTCTGCACCAGCTTCTTCTGCCAGCCCACTCCAGCCCTTGCTTTCTCTTAACTGAGATATAATTTACATTACATAAAATTCACCCTTTTAAAGTGAACAATTCAATAGATCTTAGTACACTCACAAAATCGTATGACCTCTACTACTGTCTAATTCCAGAACACTTAATTACCCCAAAAAGAAATCCCATAAGCAGTTTCCACCCTGCGCCCATTCCTCCCACCCCCTAGGCTCCAGTTTCTGGCAACCATTAATTGACTTTCTTTTTTTTTTTTTTTTTTATTTTATTGATTTTTATAGAGAGAGAAAGGGAGAGGGAGAGGGAGATAGAAACATTGATGAGAGAACATCAATTGGCTACCTCCTGGATGGCCACCACTGGGGATTTGACCCACAACCAGGCATATGCCCTGACCAGGAACCGAACTGGTGACCTCTTGGTGCATGGGTTGACTCTCAACCACTGAGCCATACCAGCTGGGCACTAATTGACTTTCTGTCTCTAGGAATTTATCTATTCTGGACATTTCATATAAATGGAATCATGTCACTTTTGTGTCTGACTTCTTTCACTCTGCATCATGTCTTTGAGGTTCATCCATGTTGTAGTACATAACAGAGCTTCCTTCCTTTTAATGGCTGAATAATACTCCATTATATGGATGGACCACATTTTGTGTATCCATTCATCTGCCGATGGACATTTGGGTTATTTCCACTTGTTGGCTATTGTGAATAATGCTGCTATGAACAGTCATGTACAAGTTTACATTTGGATGCGTGTCTTCCATTCTCTTGGGTAGACACCTACGAGTAGAATTGCTGGGTCATGTGATAACTCTTGTTGAACTTTTGAGGAACTGCCAGACTATTTTCCACTCTACCTTATCTTTTATTCCAGGCATTTGTCTCCATCTGTAGTAGAATGTTTGGATGACTGTTTCTTGGTCTCTTCCCCAGTATGCTCTGGGTAGGCAGAGGCTGTGTCTCTCTGCCCCCAGCCTTCAGTCCTCAGCATGGTACCTAGCACCTGGTAGACATCCAGTATAAATATTGGTGGGTGGACAGGTTGGTTCAATTCCTCAAATATTTCTCGACTCTTAGGTTGTACTAGGTTCAGTGGGGGGCACTGGCAGGGACCCAGACAGTGGCGATTCCTGCCCTGGCCAGGGGTCTGATGGAGCTATTCAGGAGCCAATTGACAATCTTGGTTGGTGGGCAGGAAAAAGGAAAAGCTGGGAACAGAGGTGTCACAATCACTGACATATATTCAGTCACTTAAGCCATGAGAGTGAGATCACCAAGGGCATGAAGGGACAAGGACCAAGGCAAAGCCTATGGAGGAACAGGCACCATGTGAGTGGCTGAGAAGCCCTGGACAAAGAAGCAAGAGACCCAGGAGCCCAGCCTCTTGTAAACTGGATGGGAGAGGTCTTCAAAAAGGAGGAGACAAGACCGACAGACAGTGTCCAAATGTCCTTAAGAGGAAGAGGGAGAAGGAGGTGGGAGATGTCTGGTATCTGGACTTTTCTGCCCCTCTCCCTGCCCTAGCTCACCAGTAGAGTCTTTTCCCACCCCTCTTGCTTGGCTCAGCTTCCTAAGCCATGGACCACCCTATAGGGGTGAGGTGGATGGTGGCGATTGCCCACTATGCAAGAGCCAGGACCCTCTCCCCCCTTTCAAGTGGCTGAGGTAGAATACAGTCAGGACATTAAGTTGGGGGACACTGAGAGGCTGGGACCCCAGTCCTAGAGGGACCCTGTGTGTGGATTTTAGAAGCATGGCCCCTCAACACTAGATGGGACCTGCCTTGTCTCTGCATCTCTGTGCCCATCTAACAAGGGAGAGAAGGCTGTGTGCCCTGTGGAGTTGTGTTCTCATCATCTCATTCCACTCTATGCCTAGAACAGTGCCTGGCCTCAGTAAGTGCCAGGGAAGGAATACTTGAGCCAATAAGAGTCATGGCATTCTGGAAAGGGAAGTGGGGCTGCACACAAAGCTAGGATGGCAGCAAGCCAGTGTCCATCCCAATCTACACTATTCCAAGGATGATGAGGTCTTCTCAGTGCAGAAACTATACATGTGTGGGCGTGCAAGAGTGTGCATGGGTGTGAGATAGTGTGTGCAGGTGAAAGTGAATGTGTGTGTGTGTGTGTCTGCCTGCCTGTATATCTGTGTGAGTTGTGTATGGGTGTGAGACTGTGTGTGTATATCTGCCTGGATGAGTGTGAGTCTGAGTGTGTGTGTGCATTCATCAGGAGATGGCTTCCAGAGCAGAGAAGTGTTTAGAGAGTCTGAGGATGAGTCAAGGTTCCTGAGGGATCAGAAGTTTCTGCCTGTCAGGCAACAAAATTCAGCTCTGTGTATTGAGTCTATTTTATTTTCTGAATGAAATACACATTAATATATGATAAATAGCTGAACACACTCTGCTAGTGGATGGCTCCTGGTTGTTGTTTTTTTTTTTTATCCTTACCCAAGGACTTTTTTTTTTCTCTCTTTTTGCATTTATCTTCATTTAGAGGGGGAAGAAGAGAGAGAAACATCAATGTGAGAGAGACACATTGACTGGTTGCCACCCGCATGACCCCAACTGGAGCCGGGGACAAACTGCAACCAGGGTACATGCCCTTTGCGGGAACTGAACCCGGGGCTCTCTGGACCATGGGCCAACGCTCTAACCACTGAGCCAAACTGGTCAGGGCGGTTGTTGTTTTTAATTAGAAACTAATACCTGAATCATTTTCTCAGATACTTTAGGGGAGAGAGTGGGCCAACATGCTCTGAGGCTTGGATCCCTTGGGCTCAGCAAGGAGAGTGTCCCAGGTCTCTTTTTGTGAGGCCCCCACTGCTCCCCAAATCCAGCTGTGCTTCTAAGGCTCCAATTCTCATCTCCACTACCTCCTCCCTGTCTCCCAGCCCTGAAGCTGGAAAACCCTTGTGGCCTTCCCAGCCCCTCCCTGCCCAGAGAAATCCTTCAAGGTCAGCACTTCTTGTCCAAAGACTTTGACCCTGCAAGAGGTCTTGGAGCAGCCCCCACTGTCCCTCTATCAGGAATAATTAACTCCTGGCTAGGTGGCTTAATCTTTGGAGAAGGTGGTCCCTGGTCAGCCAGGCAATGGGAGCTAATGTTCTTCCCGTTCTGCCAGAAGTTGCCACCTAGAGTTTGTACCACTCACTGAAAGCCAGAACCCTCAGCATCCAACAGACTGGGGGAGCCCTCAGGAACCAGAGAAAGAACCAGGTGCCTATGGAAGGGAGGATTCTAAGCCCCTCATGAGGTAAAAGAAGAATGGCACCCCTCATGGCAGGGCAGCACGAGGAAAGGAGGCCAAAATCAAGTGCATGGCCAGGATCAAGTCCAGTCAACCCATGAGCCCTTGGGTGTTGGCTGGGGCTAAGCTGCAGGAAGGTACCCAGTAACCTGAGGTGGCAGGCAAGTGTGAAGGGGTCTACTTTTATCCTGTCACTATCCCCCTGCTGCCCAGGTGACCAGTTCCCACCTCTCTGGGGGCTAGGCAAGGGCCCTTATGCAGGCTGAGATGGCAGAGCCAGGTCAGGTGGGGTCCAAGAGCACATAGTGGACTTCTGGTACAGAGCATGCAGGAGAATGGGTGGGCATGAAGGAGACGCTCACGGTAGTGGTAGGGGAGCAGGATTTTCTTCCTGCCTCCATGACCCTGGGGATCACTATCTTAGACCCTTTGTCTGACCTGGACTCACCAGAAACAGCATGACTGAGTAGAAGGAATGCCATCCCCAGCTCCTAGCTGTTCCTGACTTCTAGAACCTCCCACAAGATGATTCCAACCCCCTCAGGTGTCCCACAACAGGCATATCAGAACCCTGGAGCCCTGATTCCCAGCTAGTCCTCAACCCCAGCCCCAGGATGGATAGTAATAGCCAATGTTTATGGAGTGATCACTAAGTATCAGACATTGTCTCACAGTCACACTCTGAGGTCTATGGAGACTCAGAGAAGCCAAGTGACTGACTGGTCCAAGGCCACACAGCTGGTTGAGAGGGTGCCGTGCTTTAGGCATAGTTCTATCTGAGTCTGGAGCCTTAGGTTTGGGTATGGTGCTAAGTGACCACTCATGAAACTGGCAGAAGGCAAGAGGCCAGTGTCCTTGGAGCCCCTCACCCCTGACCCACCCAGGAGGGTGAGGCCAGACCATCCCCAGGAAGAATAGGAGAGATGACCTGATGACCTGATACCTCCCTGGCACACAGTAGGCCAAGATCAAGATACCCATTAGAGCCTGCGGCTCTCACTCATGTCCACCAGGGCACAAACTCCCAGCACTTTGATGCATCCCTGGCTTCCCAGCTCAAGGGGAGTCAACTCTTCTGGCAATTGGCAGCACCAGATAATTAACAATAGAGAATGATTGCTTCAGGCTGTGCTAGCAGCCCACTTTGGTTGATGAAACAGGGAATGTCAGATGCTGAGGCAGGCCTCCCAGGGCCGACCACAGCAGGAGACAGGAACCAAGGATGTCAGGAAGAGCCGCCAAAGCAGGGGCTTCTGCACCTCAAGGTCCCAGCAGGGGTCCTGAGTAATGGGAGCCTTGTCCTCAGGCTCTGCTGAAGACTCAGGCGTGTGGAGTGGAGCCTTGGCCTGCATGCGCATGGACAGTGGGACAGCTTGGGCCCTGCTGTGATCCTACTGTATCTGTCCAGGCATCTGGAGTACACAGACAGGGATCCTGGTAGTCAGCATCTGGAATTAAAGGTGCTGTTATGGCCACCAGCTGGGCTGAGGTGTATGAGGATAAGGGGTATACTGAGTGTACACAGCAGAAGTGGGAGCCCAGAGTGAGGAAATGTGCATAGGTAAACAGCAGGCTCAGCTGGCCCAGAGCTGGCAGCATGGTGTGGAGACCCAACCCAAAGCTGACCGTGTGTGTCTCTGGCCCCCAGACAGAGCTGTGACCTGGCACAGCTTGCAGCTGATGAGCCTGCCCACCATGGCAAGCCCCACTCTGAGCCCTGACTCCTCATCCCAGGAAGCCCTGTCAGCCCCCACCTGCTCCCCCACTTCTGATTCCGAGAACCTCAGCCCTGATGAGCTGGAGCTGCTGGCCAAGCTCGAAGAGCAGAACCGGTGAGTTGGGGCCTAGGGTAGGAGGAGGAGGGTGTGCAGGGGATAACCTGGGCCCCAAACAGGAGTTCCTGGGTACCCCTTCACACTCATATCTGGGTCTAGCCCTGGACAAAGTAATAGCCCCCCTGAGGCAATGTCATCCTCCTAACCCTGAGTGAACAGACAGTTCCCCATTCAGAGGAGAAGACCAAGGTTTCTAGAGTCAGAGTGAATCTGTGAACCTGGCTATGTTTCTCAAGCCATTGTTGGACAGAATAGTAAAGCCTCTGTCTGTGAAGTCAGGCCTTCCCCTTGTTTTAAAATGTAGGTTTATTCCCAAACACTAAGTCGAAAGAATATATGCACCCCTCTGTTCATTGCAGTGTTATTTACAGTAGCCTAGATATTGCCCTGGCCAATTTGGCTCAGCAGTTAGTGTCAGCCCATGGACTGAGGATAGCGGGTTTGATTCCCAGTCAAGGGCACATACCTGGGTTGCAGGTTCAATCCCCAGCCCCAGTTGGGGTTGTGCAAGAGGCAACCAATTGATGTGTCTCTTTCACATCTGTTTCTCTCACTCTCTCTCTCGCTCTCTCTCCCTTCCTTCCATTCTATCTAAAAATCAATAGAAAAATGTCCTCGGGTGAGGATTAACAAAATATAAATAGATAAATACAATAGCCAAGATATAGAAGAAACCCAAGTGCCCATCAATAGACACTTAAGTAGATTAAAAAAGCTATGGAATATTCTATATACAATAGAATATTACTCAGCTATAAAAAAAAAGAATGAAATCTTACCATTTGCAACAGCGTGGATAGGATCAATACCAGAGGGCATTATGCTAAGTGAAACAAGTCAATCAGAAAAAGACAAATAGCATATGATTTCACTTATCTGTGGAATCTAAAGAACAATGTAAACCAAACAGAAACAGACTCATAGATACAGAGAATAGACTGATGGTTGCCACAAGGGAGAGGAGTTAGGGAGGGGAGTTGGGGGACTGGGTGAAGAGGTAAAGGGATTGAGAAGCACAAAATAGTTATGGGTATGTAACGTACAGAATAGGGCATGTGGTCATTAATATTGTAATAGCCCTGGCTGGTTTGGCTCAGCGGTTAGAGCTTCGGCCCGCAGACCAGAGAGTCCTGGGTTCAGTTCCCACTAAGGGTAAGTATCTCAGTTACAGTTTGTCCCTGGCCAAGCGTGTGGTCGTGTGGGTGGCAACCACTCGATGTATCTCTCTCACATCAATGTTTCTCTCTCTTCCCCCCTCTCTCCCTCCCACTCTATCTGAAGATAGATGCAAAAATGTCCTCTGGTGAGGATAAAAAATATATATAATAATAATAATATTGTAATAACTATGTATAGTACCAGGTGGGTACTGGAAATATGAGGGGGTTGGGGGGGAACACTATAAAGTATATGATTGTCTAATCACTATGCTGTACACCTGAAATTAATACAAAATTATATTGACTATAAACTCTAATTGAAAAAAACTTTTAAATACAATTTTTTTTTTTTTTTTTAAATCCTCATCTGAGGACATTTTTCCATTTTTTGTACAGATAGAGTGGGAGGGAGAGAGGAAGAGAGAGAGCGAGAGAAACATCGACGTGAAAGGGACACATCGAGTGGCTGCCACCCGCACGACCAACCAGGGCCGGGGACAAACTGCAACCGAGGTACATGCCCTTAGCGGGAACCGAACCCGGGTCTCTCCGGACCGCAGGCCGATGCTCTAACCGCTGAGCCAAACCGGCCAGGGCTAAATAAAAAATTTTTTAAAAGGGAATCATATTGATGCTTAGGCAAGTACCCATTGAAGCCCTTTAAATCTGCTCTGGCTTTTCTCCTTTGGCATGTAAGTACTTTTAATTTTCCATAGAGTTGTAGAAAAAATAATGATTATATTCATGAGTGTGAATATCTATTAAATGAAAGAGGACTAAAAATAGTAATACTCTCGGTATGTGCTTAGTGAACCTTTCTAAGTTGGAGCAGAGGCAGCAATCAAATCATGGTTTCTGAGCTTTTGAAGTGAACCTGTTATATGATTTCTCCTTTTTTTAAAAAAAAAAAAAAAAAAAAGATTTTTTTATTGATTTTTAGAGATAGAGGAAGGGAGAGGAAGGGAGAAACATCGGATGTGATAGCAAAACATTGATCGACTGCCTCCTGCACACCCCCTACTGGGGATCAAGCCCACAACCTGAGTATGTGCCCTGACTGGGAATCGAACTGATGAAACTTTTGGTACACAGGATGACACCCAACCATCTGAGCCACAAGGGCCAGGACTGACTTTTTTCATAAACAATGTCTTATAGCAAGATACATTTGTAATAAAAACTACTGTTTTAACTTAATTGTGATTAGAATTTTGATCAGTTATAGTTTCTTATTTTTAAAACGTATGCCTTTTTCCAGAAGTATAGCTTTGAATTTAAAAAAAATTTTTTTTCACATATTAAAAAATAAAATAAAATGTAGATTTATTATCATTCAGCTATGGCAAGGCCAACAGATCAGGAGAAGACTGCCACTGAGAAGACAGAAGCAGGAGGCAGGGCACAGCATGCAGGGCCCCACAGGGAGGTCACCTGGGTCAGTCAGGAGAGAGAGGGAGCCAGGGGGAAATGCAGGCAAGTACCTCTATTGTGGTTTCTGAGAGAAGAAATGGACAAGGCAGGGTAAGCAGGCCTGGGTTTAGATAATTTGAATAATTTCAGCATGCTCTGGGGCATTAGGGTGGCCTGGGGTGATCAGGACAGATAGTGGCCCTGAGTGTGAGAGCTTGATAATGGAGAGGTGATGAGTTTGTGGGTTCTGAATTCATTGATTTGCAAATGAAAGATGCACTAGCAGGTGAGTCCTTAACTATCTCTAGGAATTAGCTAGGCCTGGGAAGGGCAGGCCCTGCAGAGTCAGCCAGGACCCAGCTGTCAAAGCATTAGAAACTCAGGTTTCATACAGCTTCTCACTAGTAGAGTACCCCAAGCCAGCGGCTCACCCTCTCTGGGCCTCATCTGTAAAACATGGATCTTAACAAAAAAAAACAAAACCTGCTTTTCAGGGATTGTACAAGGCTCACTGAGCTAACCCACATGCTTCTCAGCCCAGTGCAGGGCACAGAATGGGACAAACAAATGGCAGCCTCTGCAGGGACCCAGGGAAATGGACCACAGCTCAGAGAAGTTTGGGCTCTGGCCAAGGCAACTCGACAAGAACAACTTTGACCTAATCACTGGTGGCCTCTGGAATCCCCGGGAGGATGGGCCAGGCTCCTCAGCAGCTACCTGTTTCCAGGGAGTCACTAAAGTCCAGGGACCAGGGTGGGAGGTACCTGCAGCCTGGACCTGCCTCTACCGGCCCTCCCTGCCTAGGCTCCTGGAAGCCGACTCCAAATCCATGCGCTCCATGAATGGCTCCCGGCGAAACAGCGGCTCCTCACTCGTGTCTAGCTCCTCTGCCTCCTCTAACCTGAGCCACCTGGAGGAGGACACGTGGATCTTGTGGGGCCGAATTGCCAACGAGTGGGAAGAGTGGCGGCGGAGGAAGGAGAAGCTGCTTAAGGTGGCAGGGATGGTGGAGGTGGGTGGGCAGCTGGGGGTCCAGCAAGGGCAGACAGCAGGTGGCCCTGCCTGGTCACTCTGCCAGTGAACAACAGTACCAGGGCCCCAGCACCTGTAAAGGGACAAAAGTGGAGATGTGCAGGCACTTTCAGGGAGCCTTGCCAGGGCAGGGGGAGGGGAGAGAGTATGAATGGGGCTGGCCAGGTAAGTAGCTGTCTCACTGATGTCTCAGGCACCCCTTTGTTTCCTACCCCACTATGTTCTGTCACAGACTGGGGGTAGCACATTAAGCAGTGTGGATTCTGCAGTGCAAAGGCTTGGCAGAACTCTTAAGCCACATGCATAGTATAGGCAAGCCCCATCTTGGGGGCTGGACTGGGTAGCTACGGGGAGGCTACACTGGGACAGCATCCAGCCTGGCCTGCTGCTGCCTACCCTGTCCCCAGGAGCTGATCCGCAAGGGCATCCCACACCACTTTCGAGCCATCGTGTGGCAGCTTCTGTGCAGCGCCACGAACATGCCAGTCAAGAACCAATACTCAGAGCTGCTTAAGATGTCCTCACCTTGTGAGAAGCTGATCCGCAGGGACATCGCCCGCACCTACCCAGAGCATGAGTTCTTCAAGGGCCAGGACAGCCTGGGCCAGGAGGTCCTCTTCAATGTCATGAAGGTGAGGCCCCCACTGCCCAGGCCCCCCCTCCCCACACAAAGAAACACTATCCACTTTGGCTTGCCATCTCTGAGCCTGGTGGGACCCTGCCATGACACTCACATTTCCTTGCAGGCATACTCTCTGGTGGACCGGGAGGTGGGCTACTGCCAGGGCAGCGCCTTCATCGTGGGCCTGCTCCTCATGCAAGTAGGTGGCCTGGGGCCAGGCTTATGGCAGGGGCCAGCCCATCTAGGCTCTGCTTCTAGGAGGTGGACAGAAGCAGAATGTAACACTCTATCTAGTGTTCTACTGTCAGAGCCTACCCATTTATCCACCTATGACCTCTGACAGTCCCCAGGCCAAACCCCCAGTGGGTGAGCACAGAGGGACTGACCGCCTGTTCTGTCCACTGTACTGTCCAGGGGCCGGAGGGTCAGGCCATCATACTCAGTCACCTCCCAGCATTGGACAGGGAACTCCATCAGGGACTTAAGTTGGCCAGTGTGGAGTTTATGAGGCTAGGGGTTTTGTCCAGAGAATCCAGCAGGCTTAGGAAGAGAAGAACAGAGATGCTGGAAGTGGACCAGTGGGTATCCTGACCGTGGGCTCTGGAGGTGGCCAGACCTGGGGTTCAAGTGCCAGCTCCACTGTTCCCTGCCAGGTGGCCTTCAGCAGGTGACTTCAGCCACAGTAGGTTTCCCATCAGTAAACAAGAATGACCAGAGGTTTATTGTGAGAGTCCAGGCAGCCAACACAATCCAGGTTCAGTAAACATAAATAGAACAGAAACAGGCCAAGCACAGTACTCCAGGGCCATGAGAAGAGCATTGAGTACCCCCCTCCCACCATGCCCACACTCACAGCCTTCTTCCTGCCTGCCCATTCCCTAGATGCCTGAGGAGGAGGCCTTCTGCGTGTTTGTGCGGCTGATGCAGGAGTATCGCCTTCGGGAGCTCTTCAAGCCCAGCATGGCCGAGCTAGGGCTCTGCATTTACCAGTTTGAGTACATGCTGCAGGTGAGCGGGGCTGGGGGTGGCCCAGCACCGCCCACTTCTCTGCAGCCCACAGCCATGGGCACTAACCTAGGCCATCCCAGTGAGTCTATTTGACTGAAATTTCCAGGGCTGAGAAATTATATCCAGAGGTCCCAGCTCAGAAAGGGGACCATGTTGCACTGCCCCCAAGCACACTTCCAGGGACAGGTCAGGAACAGCCATTCATGGTGGGGACTCCTGAGCGCTCTGGGCTTCCAGAGCCCGAGGGCAGAGGGATCAGGCTGGCTCTTGCCAGACACACCCACAGCCCCCTTACTGTCTGCCTGCCTTTGATGATTATGGAAGAGCTACAGATCTTTCTATTTATAAACAGCAACCCCCACAGGGGTGCTCTTGGCTGGCAGACAGAGCTAAGTGTGCATGCAGGGGAAGAATATACACACACTCATATACACACACACAGCCTGCTCCGGAAGCCTGTCACAGGTGGGGCTATGAAACTGCACAGCAGTTGGGGGTGAAGGTAGGGGGGAAACAGGAGGTGGGGCCTGGGACAAGCCTGGTCATGAAAGCCCCACTCCTCAGGCCTGAAGGCCTGGGAGGTGCTGCTGTTGCTCAAGGGAACCTGGTAGTGCCAACAAGCAGGGGGCCAGAGCCTGCAAAGAAGTGGCCCCGCTGAGAGCTCCCACAGCAAAGTAGCTGGACAGCAACAGGGAGCCCCTGGGTCTGTAAGGAAGCCCAGGGCAGGTTGCTGGAGGGGGCATCAGAGACTCTTCTCCCAGTGAAGGACATCCAGGGGGTCGTAACACTTTCTCCAGGCTGTTTTCCCAGTTTCTGTCACTTTTCAGCAGTCTGAAGTTCAGGCCAACCAGACCGGCATTCCCTGAGCATTGCTGGGCACAGAGCATCGTGAGGGGGCTGTGGGGAGATACAGCAACTGGCAAGTCATGGAATACAGGTTGAGCTGCAGTGGGCTCATGCCATGCCCCACCTCTCATTCTCTGGGTGACCTTCAGGAGTTATGTAAACCCACCCCAAGCCTCAAGCTCCCTGTCAGGCTGATCATGAGGATTCCATGAGCCAGGAGGAAAGCAGTTGGGCCACTTTCTACCCAGGGTGCATACCCAACACCCATGAGCTGCTGCTACTCCTACCACCCCTACCTGTATCCCCACCTCATGCTACACAGAGGTCTGGGATGTTTCAGCCTCGCCCAAACACAGTGCTGAGGGCACACAGAGGAAGGGACCCCAAGGGCATATAAGAGAAGGCTTCCTGGAGGCAGGGTCACTGAGATCCAGCACTTCCAGGTGGGGAAGCCTGTGGGCACAGACAGCTGTGCCTGATTCTGTCCTCACAGTGCTGGGCCTCCTTCCCCAACCCCTCAGGAGCAGCTCCCGGACCTGAACACCCACTTCCGCTCCCAGAGTTTCCACACGTCCATGTACGCCTCATCCTGGTTCCTCACGCTCTTCCTGACTACCTTCCCACTTCCTGTCGCCACTCGTATCTTCGACATTTTCATGTATGAGGTCAGGAACCCTTCAGCCTCTTCCTCTCCCAAAGGCCCCACACTGGAAATAAATTCCAGCCAGGAAAGGGCCAGGGCTTGGGGAGGGATTGGAGATCTCTCTGAGAGAGCAGGACCATGGAAGCACTGTCACCACTGCCTTTGCAGGGCCTGGAGATTGTGTTCCGCGTAGGCCTCGCCCTGCTGCAGGTGAATCAAGTGGAGCTGATGCAGCTGGACATGGAGGGCATGTCCCAGGTGGGCCAGGGGCCCGGGGAATGGTGGGATTGCCCCCCCCCCCAACACCAGCAGGGGCTCCTGGGCAGGTGAAGCTTCCTGTGAGACAGGAAGGCTTGGAGTTCCTGAGTAGCCTGATCCTTCCCTCTGCCCTGTGACCCCTGAGGCCTCACTGGAGAACCAACGTGGGCCCTAAGGAACCCCAGGCTCTGCCAGACACAGTCCAGGGCCAGCAGCCTGGCAGTGGGACAAAAGGAAGTCCCAGGCCCTGGCTCTGGGAAGTTTCACTCCTCCTGCCCCCAACTTTGTTTTCCCTCAAAGCTTTTGTGGCAAATAGTTATACTAGCCGAACTACAAGACCTTGGGTGTGGTTTTTGGCCCCAGCAACTGGGCGAAGTGAGGGCACAGGAAAGAGTAAAGGATCTGGGCAGCCTCACTGGCATACCCTACCTGAATTCCTTGCCTGTTGGAAAAGAGACCTGCTTGTTTCTCACCACCATATCCCTACCATGCAGGCCCCTGCCCCCTCCCAGTGTCCTCCAGCTGATACTTCAGGGAAGAATACACAAAAGCCATGGTTGTATCCACAAACACGAGTGTTCATTGTCTGCAGCTACCAGAGGGGACCAGCTGGGGAACAGGAGCCAGCCTGGCCCCAACCAACAGCAAGCTGTGGCCACCGGTGTCTCACATTTAACCCTTTGTAGAAGCCTCAGGCGAGCAGGTGGACCACTGAGGGGTCTTCCCTCCATGTTGCTTCTGTCTGCTCCAATTCTACAACCTCTTCAATCTCCTCTCACTGCCCTGGGGTACAGCATGCCACCCCCTTCCTCCATGAAGGTGTCCTGTGCTCAAACCCTACCTCAACCCACCCCAGGGCCTTCACCCTCAGGAGCTCCCGCAGCCTGCTTTTCTCCTACAAACTGAAATCCTGGCTGCAGGCGGCTTCTCCCCAGAGGCCTGCTTCTCATAATCACTCACTTGCTCCACAATGATGGAGCACCCACAACAGGCAAGCCAGGCACTGCACTGGGTACATGGTGATATCCCAGGCAGATCTGCCCCTGCCCTCCCTTCTGGAGCACCCAGGTCCTCATCCAGAGCAGTGGGCACTGCAGGCACAGCAGGGGTTTAAGCACTGCCCCTTACCCATCCCCATAGTCTATGTCTACCTATGTCCCCACAGTACTTCCAGAGGGTGATTCCCCACCAGTTCGACAGCTGCCCAGATAAGTTGATCCTCAAGGCTTACCAGGTCAAGTACAACCCTAAGAAGATGAAGAGGTCAGTACCCAGCAGCCAGGGTGCTGGTGGAAAAGGGGCCCCTGAAGGTGGGGCAGTGACCACATCAGCCTTCTCCTCTGCAGGCTTGAGAAGGAGTACACAGCTATGAAGAGTAAGGAGATGGAGGAGCAGATCGAGATCAAAGTGAGTCCCTGGGGAGGGGGGACTGGCTCAGCAGGCCCATGGGAGCTTCCCTCCCAACAAAAGAAGCGGGTGACCACTAGGGGGTGGCCCTGCCCAGCACACGAGGCTGTACTTAGGCTCTGAGGGGTTACCCCTCTACCAGCTGCCCCTTCACTACCAGACCAGTGTGTGAGTGAGGGCCCACCTGACACTGGAGACATGGCAGTGTACAAAGTGGACCTGCCCTTGTGGGGCTCCCATAGCAGTGGGGAGACAGTGAACCAATAAGTAGAGTATGAACTCTAGAAAGAACTCTGGGTAAAATGTATAGGGGAGAATGCATCAGGTCCAGGGAACCAAGTGCTAAATGCCTGAGTAGCAGTGGACCTAAGAGGCCTGAGGAACATCAGGAAGGCTGCCCTCAGTGGTGGGAGCCCCAAGATCAGAGGCAAGGGGGAGCCCTGAGGCAGGCAGAGGCCAGATGCCAGAGAGGATAGGCCAAGGTACAGCACTCACCCATGGCTACTGGCTCCTGGTGCCTGGCCAGCCAGCCCTACTAGGTTTAAAGGTACAATTCTGTCACCAAGTACAATGTGTGGGTTTTTTCCCCACACCACCAAGCAGTTCTCCAACACCAGTTCTGTATCCTACAATTCAGCTTAATTCTGACACCATCTACCTGGAGACAGTGTCAGACCCACAGGTTAAGGGTACCGTCCCACAAGACTGCCACTCCCCCCTTCAGAAGCCAGTCACAAATCTAGGTTGTCACTATGCTTCTGACCAACTGGCTATAGATCACAGGTTCCTGTGATCCCCTCCCTGGGTTTGATTAATTTGCTAGAGTGGGTCACAGAATTCAGAGAAATGTTACTACTAGATCATTGGTTTGTTATAAAGCAGGGATGGGGAACATCAGCTAACATCACACACCTCACCAAATTAGTCTGACCAAATACAGCAGACTAATTTTTAAGTTGATAATTGTGTATGGCCCTCGAATGATGTTATAAATATCCAAATGGCCCTTGGCAGAAAAAAGGTTCCCTACCCCTGTAAGGATATAGCTCAGGAACAACCAGATGGAGGAGATTCGTAGGGCTATATAGGGAAAGGGCACAGAGCTCCCACACCTTCTCCATGTGCACCACCCTCACAGCACCTCCAATTCTTCATCAACCTGGAAGCTCTCCAAACCCTGTCCTGTGGGGTTTTATAAATTTATACAGGCATGATTGATTACATCATTGGCCATCAACAGTTGATTCAACCTCTAACCCATCTCTGATCTCTGGGGATAGGACTAAAAGTTCCAACTCTCTGACACATGGTTGGGTCCCCTGGGAACCAGACCCTATCCTTAGGTGACCTAGGGACTTTCTAAAAGTTGCCTCATTAACATAACAAAAGACACCTTTATCCCTCTCTTCCCCCAGGAAATTCCCAGGGTCTTAGGTGCTCTGTGCCAGGACAGAAGACCAAATATATATTTTTTCCTATAAATCACAAGGAGTTTTCTGAATGTGCAGAATCTCTGAACCCCATCTTCTTGTCCTCTTTCCCTCTGCTTTCATCCCTCCACACATGATATTAGTTATTCATTCAACAAACATTTATTGAGTACCTACTTTGTGCCAATCACAGCAGAGTTTGAGGGCCAGTAGAGATACAGGGACAAACATTAAACCAAACCCCAACACTTTGTCCTCTGTCTACAGACTGGCAGAGTACCACTGTGGCTGGGACTGGAGTCCCACAGACCAGGGTTCAAATGCCAGCTCTACCACAGACCAACTGCGTGACCTGGAAAGGTGAATTCACCTCTCTGACACCTCTCAGTGTCTCCTTCTAAGAAATGGGAATGACACTCTGCTGTTAAATTTATTCTTATTATCACTACCACCACTATCATCATCATCCCACCTCCTCTAGAAAAGCAGAGGCAGAACCTACATTAGAATCCAGGTCACCTGCCACCCAATCTGAAGGGGAAAGAGGGCAACATTGTTCTGTTCCTGTTTATAGGATTTCCAGAAATAGTTTTGTGTCTTACATTTTTAAGCATCTCTCTTTCTCAGGAGTAGCAACCTGACTGATGCACCAGTCCAAACGTGTGTGCGCATGCGCGCGTACACTACTTGTACACCAAAAAGGGCCTGCTCCCATCTGGTGACTGTGAGGGCCCAGCAATAGGTAGGTACACAGCAGACCCTCAGACCACATGCCCAACTTGGAAATTTCCCACAAGAGGACCCTGAGCACCCCACAGGTTTTAAAGGATTCAGGCCAGTGCCTTCTCCCTTGGCCCTGCCCTTTGTTCTTTCACCTTTAGCCTGTTTTAACATGTCCCTGGGATTTGTTTTAATCAGGCATGGTAAGGTGACTGACACAGAGACAACTGCCTTTGAAAGAAGAGTTTATTACAGTTCCCAAGAGGTGGGGCACACCAGGCCATGCAGGGCCATATGGGGAAGCATCAGGGTCAGTTAGGAGGCAGAGGGATCAAGGGGAAAAGCAGGGGCCAGAGCCTTTTTATAGTTTTCAAGCAAAGGAATGGGCAAAGCAGGGTAGGCAAGTTTAGGATTTACTAATTTGAATAATTTCAGGAGCTATAGGAGTGGTCCCTAGTTGTCCTGTGACTATTTCTACAGGGGAAATACTGGCTCGGTATGTGAGAGTTAAATAAGAAAGGTGTGGCACGCCCTGGTGGGTTTGGCTCAGCGGTTAGAGCATGGGCCTGGGGACCAGAGAGACCTGGGTTTGGTTCCCTCTAAGGGCACATACTCTCAAAAAGACAAAAAAAAAAAGATGTGACAGAGGGTAGTGGGGTGGGGGCTGTGGAATTAGCTGGTTTTCCTTGGCAGGTAGGTTGTTTATTATCTATAGGAATTAGCTAAATTCTGGGAGGGGCACTCTCTCCAGGATTAGCCAGGCCCCAGGATGGCAAAGCATCAAAATACAGCAAGTTTTTTTTTAAGTCTTACCAGTACATAGACTCCCCATAGTTCTTGTTTTCTCTCTATTTCTATCTCTATTTCTGTCTCTATCTCTATCTCTCATTTTGCCTTTGGAGTAAGCAGGAGAGAGGTGAGTTGTCTGCAGGGCACATCCAGCTCCTCCAAGGATGGCTGTGCTTATGCCAAAGGGGCATCAGAGAAATCCAAAGGTCATGGATCAAGACTCTGAGCTCCAGATCACTGTGAGGGACAGAGACCTGTACTTGAAACAGCTTGGGAGGCTCAGGAGAGACACTGCCCTACTCCAACTCAGTTTCCCCATCTATGACATGAGTCAATGGCCATCAATCAAGTCTGCCATCTCTCTGATCAATTGCTTCCTAGGAATGTTCTAGATGTCTCTGTCACCTTTTTCTCCCCCAGAAGAAACCAGAAAATGTTCTGTGTGATCCACAGGGAGGCAAGACCCTCACTAACCTGCTCATCAAAACTGTTTGTGTACCTACCTAACGGGTACACACCTGTTTCCCAAAAGGCTATTATAGGAAAACCTAAAACCACAAATATCTAACCAGAATCCACCAGCCCAGGATGGAAAGCAAAAGCAAGGGTGTTGGCCTCCCCAGCTAAGGGGAAGTAATGACTGTGACTGTTGGACACAGCTGGCAGGTTGTCATTGGGTCACAGAGATGTAGTTGTCAAGTCAAAGGAAGTGGGGGTGTTCAGCAAGATTCCCTCCCCTGCAGCCAAATTCCCAGAGGAGTTTGTCAACTAAGAATTGAACCCTGGGGCTGGAGACAAAGAAGTGTAGAGTGGGGGCTGTCTGATAGCAGTTTCCCCCAAAATGCAGAAGCCTTTGCTCTGTGGGAAGTGGACAAGCCCAAGTATGGGGTAGAAAAAGGTTGCCAAGGAGGGCATGGGTGCAGACCACCTACCCCACACACAGTGTGTATCCACGTAAACATGTTATTTTTATTGAACCAAGGTTTATCTTTTTAAAAAAAAAATCTAATGGACCATTCTGAATGGAAATTGGCCCTGTTTTCTGGGATCACTGACCCAGAAAGTAAACCACGGGCTCTGTCCTGCCTGGAGGTGGCCTGGCCCCTTGGGCAACAGACCTCAACATAGAAATGGGAGGCAGAATCTGATATGCTCTCCCCTCTCCCCACATAGAGGCTTCGAACAGAGAACCGGCTCCTGAAACAGCGGATTGAGACCCTGGAGAAGGTGAGGGGTGTGGCCACCAGCCTGTGGCACTGAACCCTCCAGGCCCCAAGCAAGACCTAACAGCCAAAGGGCCAGCCAGTCCCCTGCCCCAGGCCCCATCATGAACCCCACTGATATTTGAGCTGCCATATAATTGGACCATGGGGAAACTTAGCTTGTGGCTAGGAGTTGCGTTATAACCCAGTTAGCTGCAAACACCACAACCCATTTGTGTCCAGTGCCCTCCGGGCTGCCTGGGTGGGGAAAAGGAGGTAAAACTGCTATTTTGACTGAAGTCCCTGGAAATGGGCCACAAGACACCCCACCCTGTAATTTGGAAGCCTTGTTGTCAAAAGGAAAGAGATGGGAGGGGAGGAGTAAGGGGCAGTCTTGCCACTGGCTCCATGGTGGAGTGCCACAACCTTGACCCTGGTCCCAGTCTTCTTCTTGTTGTTTTTTTTATTTTTTTCTTTATTGATTTTAGAGAGCGAGAAAGGGAGAGGTAGAGAGAGATAGAAACATTGATGAGAGAGAACATTGATTGGCTGCCTCCTGCATGCCCCACCCTGGGGATTGGGCCCACAAGCTGGGCATGTGCCCTGACCAGGAATCAAACCGGTGACCTCTTGGTGCATGGGTCAATGCTCAACTGCTGAGCCACACCAGCTGAGCCCAGTCTTGTTTTTAAAGATGAGAGTAGAGGTAGAGGCCCCCATTTCCTGCTCTACCCTCATTTTCACTTGACCCTCCACTGACCACAGGTTGTCTACAGGATTTTATTGCCCTTGCCCCAAAGCCTCCACTCGTGTTCAGACTCCAAATCAAACTTGCTGAGTTTTCCCAGTTGGCCCCAGCCTGGCCAACCCTAGAGGGGGTAACCAGGGGCTGGCTCTCCCTGCCTTCCCACTCAGCTCACACACAGACTCCTCTCCTGGAAGGAACTGGCTCTGGCTTTGGTCTTCTTCCAGGTCCTCTCCTGCTGGTTTTCTGGTTCTCGGGTCTCACTCTTGTCTCCCCTGCTTCTAGATATAGTCCACTGCATTAGTGACAAATGGTTCTTGTCTGTCTCTCCCCCTCTCCTGTCTCCACACCTACCACTCTGCCTCCTCCCCCTGTTGCTGGGAACCCCCTCGCCGGGTAGGAGAGCGCTGCTTTGGCTGATAGGTTAATCCAGGTACTGTAGCTTTTTGTCTCACTCTCCTATTTTCTTCCTAGTCCCTATATATGACAGCCAATAACCACCTCTTCCCTGGTCCCTGCCATCCATCCCAGGGGCAAGGGGGCAGGCCTGGCACCATGCATGAGGGTGGCTGGAAACTGCTTCTGAGGGAGACAGGTGGCCATCTAGAGGAGGAGGCTATGCATATGCAAATGTGCCATTTTAGGGTGTGTCTGTGAGTATACATACTCACACAGAGACACAAAGCTTCCTCCCTCAGGAACCCAGGAGGGTTCAGGGACCCTAAGGGTGCATCAACAGCAGGTCTTAGTGTATGCACCTGCTGAGCCTCACACACACACACACCACCATTACCACCTCTTCTGGCCCTTCATGTCTCTACTTCAACCTGCAAGGCCTGCCATCTTCTCTCACCTGCTTCTGCTGCTGCCTCATCTTGAATGGCTTTATCTGAAAGCTTCTGCCTGCCACCTGGTGGCTTGGAGTTTGGAATGGGGGGACCCACATTGGGTGGAGTTAGGGATGAGGCTGGAGGGTAGATCTTAGCCCCTGGCAGTTAGAGGCCCCCCGGGGTCCAGGACTGGGGAATGCCAGGGGAGAGGCATATTCCACCTCCCAACCCTGCCTGGGTGAGCCAGCCCTTAGCTGCCTCCACCCTCGCCAGCAGAGCCTGACCTCTGGTGTGCCATCATCCCTGAATAAGGACTTGCTTCTCCTCCCTTGGGACATAGGCTAACAGTCAGACACCAGGAGGGGACAAAACGGTCAGCAGCCCCAGCCTGGGGCCCGGTCTCCATTTAAGCCCCACAGAGCTCCACCCTGGGTTGGGGGCTTGTGTCTTCCTCAGGTTCCTGCTGGTGTCTTGTATCTGCGTACCCCTCACCTTTATGCCCAGGCCCCATGGGGCACCCTATCCCAGACTCTGAGTGAAGGAGGTCTCACCCCTCTCCCACAATGCCTCTGTCCTCTTTGGGTCTCCCCCCTAAGGTGGTCCTGAGGCAGGGCCTGAGGTGTAAGCAGAGGGTCATGACCCACCTCTCACTACCCACTATCCTTGATGGGCTCAGGGACAGGTGACACGGGCACAGGAGGCCGAGGAAAACTATGTCATCAAGCGGGAGCTGGCAGTGGTGCGGCAGCAGTGCAGCTCAGCAGCAGAAGACCTTCAGAAAGCGCAGAGCACCATCCGGCAGCTGCAGGAGCAGCAGGTACCAGGCAGAGCCACCTCTATGAGGCTACACTCCTGCCCCCGCCTGGCAGCTGCTGTCTGGGCTCACCAGCAACTGGCTGGAGATCAGCCCTTCAGTTACTACCTGGTGGAATGGGGGTAGCACCCAGAGCCAAGTAGATACTCTCCTCCAGCCCCACCCGCAGCAATCAGCCCCTGACCCAAGGGGGAATCCTGTGGTTTCCATGTTCCATCACCCTCAGGGGTGCTTGGCCTTCCACACTGAGACCAAGGCAGTCAACCTCCTCTGGTTTCATCTCATCATAGGAACCAGGCTATCCCTGCAGGGCTTCCCTCCTGGCACAGGCATGCGAGCTTGACTGATGGGTTATTGGGCTTGAACTTCAGGGCTATTGGGCTTCGCCAGGGGCTAGCCAAGCAGAGTAGGAGCTAAGACGAGAGGGGGCTCCCTCTTCCAGTGCCCAGGACTTTGCACTCAGAGGACAGACTGGTCGGTGCCCACCACTCTGAACTGGTAGGGTAAGGGTGAGTGGGCAGTGCAAGTCTATTATGGGGTCTTAAACTCAGTGGTGAGAGGGTTCACAGGCTAGAGCACTGTGAAAAGTGTCTGCCTCTCCCATAGGTGGCTTTTAGAACCTTCAGATTTACCCAGCAGGCTTCCTTCCTTATCTGATGACTTGCCAGCAACTGCAGCCCCAAGCTCAGAGTGCATGTGTGTACACATGCCCTGGAGGGGCACGGAAAGATGCTGTAGGCTCCCTGTGCCCCTGCAATTCAGCCCTGGTCCCAGCAGAGCCTGGCAGTGAAGTGGGATCCCTGATTTGGAGAAACCCCAGGTGCCCAAGAAACAATGGGTAGAGAGAAGGAAGGGTGGTTGGTTCCCTGGGAGATGCCCTCACCCGGGCCTGGAGACCTTGGGTCAGGCCTTAGTTCAGGAATTTGAGCTGCTGCTTTGTTTCTGGGGATAGGAAGCTTCACCATTTCTCACATGTGTCCACCTCCCACCCCTCACCTGCCAGTGCTGTGGCCCCCCACCTCACTCTGAAGTAGCTGGTCCAATGGGTGAACCCGGGCTGGACTCATCCCACCACTGGTGCAGTGCCCTCTTTCAGGCCAGTCTGAGAGACATTCACTTGCCACCCTTGAACTCCAGCCTTTAGGGGAGGCAGGTAGTGCCATAGGTGCTGGCCATTGAACACCATCTCTGGGAGAGACCCTTGGAGAAGATGCAGCCTGGCAGGGCTGGAACTTAGTGTGGGGCCTGAAGCCCATCTGGGCCAAGGGAAAGCCATTGGCACCCATGGGTCTGAGACCCAAAGTGGTTGAGGGCAGCAAGCAGGCCTGGGTAGCTAGGCAGGAGGCCAGTGGGGAAGAGAATGGTGGTAGATGGTGGGGGGGGGGGGGGCATCTCCCAGAGAATGCCCTGCCAGGCCACCCTGCCAGGCCGCCAGAGCACTGAGTGGGGACCCAGCTCCAGCTCCAGCTCCAGCTCCAACTCCAGCCCCAGAGCTTTCCTTACCCACCAGCCAGGTCTCCTTTATTGGACCCAGCTGGCAACTGTCTGAGAAGACTCAGCAATGTGCAAGAAAGTACCCCAGCAAACTCTTATCCCATCCTTTCATGTTTTGAAATGGGAGGGAGAGGAGAGGAGGGAAGTGAAGAAAGAGGGCAGGAGTGCCATAGCCCTGAGCCCCACCCTGCCCCACCCCCACCTTGTGGCTAGGCCACAGACCACACAACAGGAAGGATACCTTGGAGAACCTTTCCTCCACCTCTACCCCAGCAATCCTGGTAACCGACCATTAACATACCTCAGGGAGTATCCTGAGGCCATGGAGGACCCCTTCAGAAAGATCCCTCTGTGTTGCTTTCCCAGGAAGGAGGCTAGGCCTGGCCATCAGGGTCCGCATGATGGGGTTCCGCTCTCCTCCCATAAGGGCAGGAGGCACAAGAAGAGGATCCAGGGTTTTTCCTCACCCCCCTCTACCCACTGCCTGAGCCCCCTCCCAGCCCAGAGACTCTGGGGAGTAGGGGGCAAGTCCTGAGCTCACAGCCAGCTGGCAGGAAGGCTTCCCACCTTCCAGCTGCAGCCTGAGGCCTGATGCAGCCCTCCACCTGCCCCTAGGATAACCCTCGCCTCACTGAGGACTTTGTGGCCCACCTGGAGACTGAGCTGGAGCAGTCACGGCTGCGGGAGACAGAGACACTAGGAGCCCTACGGGAGATGCAGGACAAGGTTCTAGACATGGAGAAGGTGCAACTGGGCAGGCCGGTTTTGGGGGGGCCTCTGGGAGAGGGGAGGTAGAGTGCTGCATGTGCTTAAGGATGTACATGACCAGGTCTGAGTCAAGAAAGGGCTGCCAGGAGAACCAGGGGGAGTGTCAGATACCCCTGCCCCAGCAGTCCCTGAGGAACTCAAGACTGCTTCCTCCATGGTCTCCACAGGAGGGTCTGAGCAGACAGAGAGTGGGCCCCCTTACCCCTCAGACTCTCCCAAGTCCTAGAGGTACACACACACACACAGAGACACACACACATTATGCACCAGGTAGTGTAGTGGCTTTCATGGGCTTCCTGGAAAGTCTGTCCCACCTGTGTGTCCCCTCAAGACCCTGGGTTCCAGGAAGGATGGAAGGAGGGGAAAGGAAGGCCCAGGCCCATCAGGGCTGTTTACCCCACCCCCACCTCCATGGACACATTACCCAGGGGACAACTAGGGCCCCCCCTCTCCTGCCTGCAACCCTGATACGGGCACCAGGCCTGGTGAGTCGATCCCCAGCTACTTTCAGACTGACCGGGTTTTTTTTTTTGTTTTTTGTTTTTTTATCCTCACCCGAGGACATTTTCCCATTTTTTGTTCAGGTAGAGTGGGAGGGAGAGAGAGGAACAGAGAGAGAGAGAAACATCGATGTGAAAGGAACACATCGAGTGGCCGCCACCCGCACAACCGACCAGGGCCGGGGACAAACTGCAACCGAGGTACGCGCCCTTAGCGGGAACCGAACCTGGGTCTCTCAGGAACACAAGCCGACGCTCTAACCGCTGAACCAAACCGGCCAGGGCCTGACTGGGTTTTGATTCAGCTTCCACAAAGCTGCCAGAAGAGGGCAGCAGTACACACTCACTCTGGCAGTAGCCTCCCCAACCATGGGGAGCCAGCACTATTTGGGGTGCCCTCCCAAGTGTCTCTGCCACAGTCTCTCAGTGGCTATCAGCCAGCACAGAGATGGGCTTCCCTCCACATCAGAGGGAAATGGGTACCCCGTAGATCCTGCCTGACTCCCAGACCCAAACAAGGGTCGTTGAGGTCCTAGGGTGGCAAGCTGGATTTTGTTCGAAGAGGCCAGAACACAAATCTCTCATGCCTGAACCTTGGGAGGCCAGTCTTCTCAGCTCCCACTGGGGCAGTTCCTGGCTCTGATCATGGGCTCCACAGGGGTGGATCTCAGATCTCAGGTGAGAAAGCACTGATGCCTGGTGTCAACAGTAACATGGAGGCCCCACACTTCATGAGGTTGCTCTAAGACAGTCCTGTTCACGAGCAGGCACTGTTCTTACGGCCATTTTATTTTATTGATTTTAGAGAGAGGAAGGGAGAGGGAGAGAAAGAAACATCAATGGGTTGCCTCCCAGATGGGCCCCAATGGGGTTTGAACCACAACCTGGGTGTGTGCCCTGACCAGGAATCGAACCCACCACCTTTTGGTGTATGGGATGATGCTCCAACTACTGAGCCACACCGGCCAGGGCTCTTACAACCAATTTATAGGTGAGGATCTACAACTGGGGCAACAGAGGTGCTCTGCTTCCTAGGGTCTGGTCCACCTTCCCAACATATTTTTGGTCCAGGGTACACCCTCTCCCAGCTGGGCTACCTCAGGTAGAGCCCAGAAGAAAGGAGGGAAGGCATCTTGGTCTACAGGAAGTGGTGTATGGCTACCAGCTGCCCTAGGCTCTGACCACGCCTGTCCCTCTCAGAGGAACAGTTCACTGCCTGACGAGAACAACGTGGCCCGGCTGCAGGAGGAGCTAAAGGCACTCAAAGTGCGGGAAAGCCAGGCGGTGGCTTCTGCGAGGGAGCTGAAGCTGCAGCTGCAGGAGCTATCTGACACCTGGCAGGTGAGGACCTCGCCAGTGGACAGGAAGCAACCCTGCAACCAGGAGATGTGCCACCCTCTATGCTGAGGGGACCTCAGAGCCCCTGGGCTGACCACCGGCCTCTCTTGGCAGACCCATCTGTCCCGCGGGGGCCGCTGGAAGGAGTCCCCACGGAAGCTGGTCCTGGGCGAGCTGCAGGACGAGCTGATGAGTGTGCGTCTGCGTGAGGCCCAGGCTCTGGCCGAGGGCCGTGAGCTGCGGCAGCGCGTGGTAGAGCTTGAGACCCAGGTGGGCTGCGGCCGCCTTCTCAGGGACTTGGTATCCATGGTTGGCCCCTTGGCTAGGCTGTGATCTCCCGTGACCGCCTATACATCCTCCCTACCCCAGGACCATATCCACCGCAACCTTCTGAACCGTGTGGAGGCAGAACGCTCAGCGCTGCAGGAGAAGCTGCAGTACTTGGCGGCGCAGAACAAAGGGCTGCAGACGCAGCTGAGTGAAAGCCGCCGCAAGCAGGCAGAGGCAGAGTGCAAGGTGCCCACCTCCCGGACCCCGCCTCCCCACCCCCAACCCAGCCCACCTCGCCCTTGACCTGCCCTCTCCTCACTGCCCTCAGAGCAAGGAGGAGGTGATGGCTGTACGCCTGCGAGAGGCAGACAGCATGGCGGCAGTGGCAGAAATGCGACAACGCATTGCGGAGCTAGAGATCCAGGTGAGGGGCGGGGTGGGGATCCGTCTCTGGGCAGGGATGCTACCTGACCCCTGTACCCTGGTTCACCCTCAGAGGGAAGAGGGCCGCATCCAAGGCCAGTTAAACCACTCGGACTCTTCGCAGTACATCCGCGAGCTCAAGGACCAGATTGAAGAGCTGAAGGTGGAGGTGAGCATGGGAGAGGCCTGAGAACCCTGCGTGTCCTCAGTTGGTGACCAGCCAGGAGTCCAATCCTGGGGTGCAGGAGGGGAGGGTGCCTAGCAGCACGTGGGTCAACACCTCCAGCATGCTGGTCTGACCCCAGGTGCGGCTGCGAAAGGGCCCACCGCCCTTCGAGGACCCACTGGCCTTCGATGGGCTAGGCCTGGCGAGGCACCTGGATGAGGACTCACTGCCGTCGTCTGATGAGGAGCTGCTGGGCGTGGGCGCAGCACTGCAGGACACACTCTACCCGCTATCGCCCCGCGATGCGCGCTTCTTTCGCAGTCTGGAGCAGCCCACCAAGGACAGCGAGGGCAGCTCAGACAGCGATGCAGATGAGCTGGCCACACCCTATAGCCAGGGCCTGGACAACTGAGGCCCTGCTCTTGAGCCCAAAGCTGGGGCCACACTTAAACTCCACGCTCACCCCAAGGGCGCAGCAGGGTGCAAAGGGTAGAGCTGGAGCCTGAGGATCCTCAGGGTACCTGTCATACCCACCCTCCCCAGCACTGTTTAACCATCTTGGTCAGTATTCCTCTAGGACCAGTTACCTGGAGGTCTGCCCCTCTTAACAGCAAGGGAACAGAGGACACAGGTTTCAGAACTGGGTAGTAGAAAGCGCCCTCCTCCCACCAGGTCTCCTTCTGGGACAAGGGTAGCCCTGCTGGGAAGGGCCCAAGAGCTGGAGGCGGCCTGAGGAAGAAGGGGCCACTCTGGGCTGGACAACAACACCCCAAAATACCCCAGGGACCTTTGGCTGCCAGGGATAGATGGCCAAGCTGGCCTGATGTAGGCCTCGTGGCCCAAGCAGAAACCAAAGTCCATCCTACTATGTGCAGGGCCACCTGGTGTGTGCATGGCCATCAGGAACCAGGCCAGGGCAGAGCAGCTTTGAGGAAGTCATGAAACCCCTGTCCCCAGCACCCCACATCTTCCTCTGTGAAACACCCCCATCACCCTCTCTAGGCCAGTGATGGAGGAGAGTCTAGCCTTTTTCCAGAAGGTTCCCAGCTTCCACTTCCCTTCCTTCTCTGGGTCCCCGGCTCCACCCTCCAGCCAGGGCCAGGCCCCAGGGGAGGAGGCTGCCCAGCGGAGTGGTGTCCCATGCTTCCCTCCTCATGGTGGTCCTGTGGTCTCTGCAAAGTCAGAGCCAAGAACGTGCCAAAGTTCAACATTGTCCCCCGCCCCCGGGGGGGGGGGGCCTTTTGACCCTCGGGGCTGACGCTCTCAGAGCTCCTGGAGCAGCCTCTAAAGCAGCCTCCTCAGCACTTACTGGAGTGGGGATTCATGCTCAGCTCCCTACCCTTTCCCACTTGCCCACTTCTCAGTGTTACAAAACCTGGGGACCAGGGTGGGCGTGGTGAGGCTCTCCCATGTGCCTCCCACACTGCCCACCATCATTTTGCACACTGCCTGTTCACACTCCACAAGTCGCCCAGGTGGGGATAGAAAATAAAGTGTATTTACACAGTCAAGAACAAGGGATGCTGAGTGGGGCAAGCTTGGGACTAAGGGGACTACAAGCAGCCTCAGGGCCACAGACCCTTGTCCAGCAAAGAAGTGTGTGTGGGGGGGGGAGGGAGGGGGCAGGCTGTCCTTGTCCTTGGGAGCTTCTCAGAGAGATAGAGGCCATATCAGGACAGCAGGGGGGCCAAAGAAGTGCCCAGGTTGGGATGCAGTATGAGGAGGGAAGAGCATTTGCTGGTTCAGTGTGAGGTTTGGGAGAAACAGTTAGTATGGGGGGACCTTGGATGTCATGTTCACAGATGGACCCTGCTAGCCTGGCATTTTCACAAGGGTGGCTCTGAAGATGGTGAGGACAAGGGGCATGATTTCCTTCCTGGGCAACTCAGCTTGGGCCTCCAATGAAAGATGTGGAACAATCTGGCATCTCAGGATCTGGTTGTGTTCATTAAACACTTCCTGAGGCCCTCCTGGTGCTCTGCTCCATGCCTGGCTCTAAGGGATCCCCAGGGTAGTGGAGGTAACAGACACTGGTGTGGGGGTGGAAGCTGAGCCTTCATGCTGATGTGACAAGTGCTCAGTAGATGAATGAGCAGAGAGATCAGGGAAAGCTTCCTGGAGGAGGGGTGTTGGGGATCAATGAAGAGGCCACCCCTTTCCCTCCAGCACACCAGGGGATACAAGGTAAGGGTTACACACTGGGAAGAGGATCCCTCACTCCGACCCCCAGCGAGCCCCTCCCACGTGTCTTCTCCCTCTCCCCAGGGGTACTGGCTCCCCTGGCCCAGTGTGGGGAAAATTTGAGCCCTTCCTCACGCCAACCACGCACTAGCTCACCCACTTGGTGGCGCAGCCCCACCTGGGACCTTCCTGTGCCTCAAGTTTCCATCAGAAGTTGGGCAGGGCCCTGGCCGGTTTGGCTCAGCAGTAAGAGCAAGGGCCCGCGAATTCAGTTCCCACTAAGGGCACACACCTCGGTTGCAGTTTGTCCCGGCCCAGGTTGGGGTTGTGCGGGAGGCAGCCACTCGAAGTGTCTCTTTCACGTCAATGTTGCTTGCTCTCTCGCTCGCTCTCTCTCGCTCTCCCTCTCCCTCCCTCCCACTCTGAACAAAAATGGAAAAATGTCCACCGGTGAAGATAAAAAAAAAAGTTGTGCAGGAAGAAATCTACATTCACGCACGTGAGTGGGTAGGTGTGCCACACTAGACCACGCTGGGCATCGCCGGGTCCCATCGCAGCCTTGGTCCCCGCGGCGACAGCAAAGGCACACAGGCTGCGGTGTCCCGGTTTTATTGGGCTGCTGCGGTAGACAATAGGCTGAACAGGGACTGGGGCCTAGGCTGAGGGAGGAAGCGAAGCTCGAGGGGAGAGGGAGCGTGTCCTAGGCCAAAGGGGCGAAGCTCGAGGCGTGGACCTTGCCCAAATGTGTGGATGGGTAGCGAATCTGGGTTAAAATTCTAGGGCTCTAGGGTGGCTAAGACCAATCCCACGGAGATCTGGACTCCAGAAGGAGCGGACGGGATCTAAGACCAAGAAGCGTAACCAGAGGGGCGGATGCTAAGGCAGGGGTGGAGTGTGGTCGGCGGGGCTAGAGCCTGGCTCAGTGAAAGGTCTCCACCTCCACCACGGTCCAGTCACCCTGCGGGGAAGCCAAGTCGTCCGGGGAGAAGCTGGTGACCGAGGTGATGCTGGCGCGGGACTCGTCCAGGGGAGACAACAGTTCGGCCCAGCGACTCAGTTCAGCACCGCTGAACGCAGTTCGGGCGCCCCCGGCGCCGCCGCCACCCCCAGCGCTCCCCGGGCCACCGCCGCTGCCGACAGCGGCACCTTCGGTCGCCGCTAATAACAGGGTCCTGCTCAGCAAGTGCTGTACGACGCTAGCCTGCAGAGCCCCCAGCGGCAGCTCGCCCAGGCACGCTGGCTTCACGCCGCGCGAGGCAGCCGCCGCCGCCGCCGCCTTCCCACCACCCGCGCCGGGCCCAGGTCCAGGATCCAGCATTCCTTGGTCGGAAGTCGCCGATTCCGACCCTTCAGCCTCGTAGATTGTGCCCAGGCCGTCAGCAGAGCCAGACCCAGCAGCGGGAGGCCAAGGCATGGGTACTCCTGCAGAGACAGGAGCCAAGCTGGCCACAGTGAAGAGAAGCCCCGCCCCGCCCCGCCCCTCAACTCCGCCCCCATATCCAACTGCGGCACTTCGGAGCGGCGAGGCCTCACTTTCGACCCCGCCCACCTATAGTCCGGTACCTCGCCCCTCCCACAGCTCACGGGGTCCGAAGGGCTACTTACCCGGGGTGCCGCGGACAGCCAGCGGCGAAGTGGGACCTCGGCTCCAAGCAGCCGGGTGGCAGGCGGCGAGCTCTGCGTCGGTGGGGGGGGAGGCGGCGGTGCCACCCTCCGGCCCACTATCATAGCCGCGCAGCTCCTCCGGTGTGCTTGTGGCGCTGCTGCTGTGGCCCGCCAGGTCCGGGCCGCTCAGAGTACTGGACGGGCTGCGCGAGGGCGGTGGCGGCGGGGCCGAGGCTAGCGCCAGGGTCAGCCGTGGGCCCGGGATCGGAGCATCGGGACCCGGGGTCGGGGGACGGCGTGGGGTCGACCGAGGGGGTGACGCAGGGGGAGAGGAAGGGACCTGCAGAGGAGACAATGCCAGATAAGATGGAGCCGGGGGAGGGAGCGTGGCCATGGAAGAGGGAGGGTTTTGCAGAGGAGGCACGGCCAGAGGTTGGGTTTGCACAGGGGCCATAGCCAGTAAAGAAGGAATAGCCTGCAAGGGGGACATGGCTGGAAAGGGAGCCGTCTTCAGAGGTGGTGAGGCCTGAGAAAGTGAGACCTGTAGAGGTAACAGAGTCTGAGAAGAGGGAGAGGCCTGTGGAGAAAGTGTGTCCAGGGAAGATGGACTCTGTGGAGGGGCCGTAGCCAGGGGAGAGAGAGGGGTTTGCAAAGCTGATGAGGCCAAAAAACGTGGAGCCTGTAGAGGGGGCAGAACCAGAGATGCAGTGGCCTGAAGAGGGGACGTGGCCAGAGGTGGTGTCTGCAGTGAGGACGTCGCCAGGGAAGGAGGGGCCTGCGGAGGGGATGGGGCTAGAAGAGGGTCTTGCATGGGAGGTGTGGTCAGTACATAGGCCGTGGCTTGAAGATGGGGCGGAGACAGAGGACTAGCCAGTGGAGGGGGCGTGGTCAGAGCAGAAAAGTCCTGCAGAGGTGCTGTGGCTAGGGGAGAGGGTAAGTTCCTCAGAGACCTTGCCTGAGAAAGACGGACTTGTAGAGGGGGCGTGGCTAGTGGCAGAGGAGCCGACAAAGGAGGTGCAGTCAAAGGAGAAGGGATAGTCGGAAGAGGGGGCAAAGCCGGAGAAACCTGGGTGGGGGACGTATTCGACAGAGGGGATGAACCTGAAGGAGAGAATGGAGCCAGAAAAGTGGCCGTGGGAGAGGCGGGTGCCTCCGGAAAGGATGTACCCAGGTGTGTGAGTGGAGCTTGCAAAGTGAGTGTGGCTGGCAGAGAAGGGAGGGTCTGCGGAGAGATTGGGGCAGAAGCAGGAGGGGCCAGCGGAAAGGGCGTGGCCAGGGGACCCGTTAAGGCCTGGAGAGGTGGCGCGGTCGGTGGAGAGGTAAGGGGCGTGTCCCGCAGAGGAGCGGCTGTGATATGGATAGGCGGTGCCAGTAGTGCGGTCGGACAGGATGGAGATGATACCGCCAAAGGAAGAGAAAGGCTCTGCAGGATTGCTGTGCCCTTCCTTGGGGGTGCGGCCTGCGGGGGGTGCAGAGCCTGCAGCCCTTTCGACTTGGCCTGTGAGGGGAGCCCCAGAGCCCGGGGTGTTCCACCCAGCAAGGCCCGGGAGCGCGCTGGGGAGGACAAAGGGTTGGTGCTGGAGCCCAGGAGGCGCGAAGCTGGCCTCTGGAGGCCCCCGCAGGAGCTGGGTCGCCTCCTGGCAGCGGGGCTCGGCTCCGCGGTGCTGCGCTCCGGGGCACTGCTCACTGATTTCCTGGAGGCTTCATTCAGGGGTCGGGGCCGGGCACTGGAAGCTGCCCGGGGGAGCCCCACTTCAGCGCCCCCACCTCGAGACCGATGAGAGATGGCTGGGGAAGGGGCGCCTGGGGTGGGACCGGAAGAGTCTAGGGACAAAGCAGAAGGCCAAAGGGTCATCGATACTCACAGACTAGTCCCCCTCACTGCCCAGGAGCCCCACTCCTCCCCAGGTCACGTACCTCTCCGTGCCCCCACACTCAGGGCACTCCTTCTGGGAGTTTCTGGGGGTTTTCCTCTGCCCATAGGTTCCTCAGCTGGAGGACAAAGCCCTTTCTGCCCTAGAGGGCCTAGCCTGGAAGTGGGGGGGGGGGGAGGGCGTAATGAGGGCAGAGCCTCCCCCACCCCCTGTTCCTTGTTTGACCTCCAAGGGTCATATTTTCTTTCTCATCTGTGAAATGGGGCATATGGCCCTCTGCCACCTTAGAATGGCTTTCACTCCATTTGCGCCCAGAGATCTGCAAGTGTTCCTATGCCTCAATTCGTGTGTAAAAGGATTCCAGAGAGTGACATTAACCTTGCCTAGGGAGGAAAGGGGGGGGGGGCATGTTACCTGGTAGTCCCACTAGCATGTCCCAGGCTAGAGACAGAGCCTGAACCAGGGGTCTTGGCAGGGGTCCGATTCCCTCTCCCAGACGCTGGGGTCCTGGTGGCTGCGAGGAGAAGGCTGAATCAACCGAGTACCCCCGAAAGCAGGGGAAGTCTGGTACATCAGAAGGAAAGGGGAACAGGGAGATGGGGTCGAAATTGGGGAAAGAAGCCAGGAAACCTGGGTTGCCCAGGCCTGTCCGGGTGCTCCTCGTGGGATCCACCGGGGGAGTAGCTTCCGGAAGAGCAGCTGCCCGGATGCTCCCCGCTCGCTGGGCCAGCGGCCCTCGCCCCCCAGCTCCCACTGCTCCCAGAACTCTGAGGGCTGTGGGGATTACTGGGGGAGGGGATCGAGGAGACGCTGGAGGCCTGGAGGTTTTCCGAATGCCTGGAGGGTGAGAAGCCATCATCGTCGCTGCGGCTCCTGCCTTGGCCTTGTCCCTCTTATCCATCTTGTCCATCTCGCACCTGGTGAGGACACAGATCGGTCAGCGTCCCAGGTCTTGGCCATTATGCAGCCTGCAGGGACCTGGGTCCTAGTACTTCCCTGTCCCTTATCCAGTGTCGCCACCCATGGGCAACTCCAACCTCAACCTCGATCCATTTCCCTCCCACCCAACCATCCACTCACCAAGTCCCACCCACATCACCCTCCTCCAGCCCCCTCCCCCTGCCCCCTCCAGTCTCTGCTCCCTTTCAGAACCGGAGATCCACGCCCCTACTCCCCTCCCCCTAGGGACCCAGACGACCAGCCTCCGGACAGAGGAATGCCACAGGCTCCAGATGGGGTGGGGAGACGAGAGCCCACACCGGGGTCCCCTCGCCAGCTTCGAGGGACGCCAGCACCTGCCAGGAGGAAAAGTGGCCCTGGCTGCCCGCGCACCAGCTCGGGGAGACAAAGAACCGCGCCCCGAACGCGATCCCCTCGCCCAGCCCAGCCGAAGTCCGCACCGCCCACTCCACTTGGTAGCACTGCGCTCACCTCGGGCTGGGTCTCCCGCCGCTCCAGGCCGGATTGCCCGGGGTGGGGCAGTGTGGCAGCGCCGCAGAGGCCACTAGAGGCTGGCAAACGAAGGGAGGGGGCGGAGGCGCTGGAAGCCAGGCCCGCCCCTCGACCGCGGGCGAGGAAGACTGGGGGGTGCGCGCGCCTGATCCAGACAAGGGAGGACGGCAGCTTGCGGGTGGTGGGTAAGAGGCGGGCTTTGGAGGGAGGGGCGGCTACCCGCGCTGCGCCTGAGTACCCGCAACCCAAATGGGGGGACTGGGGAGAGGAGGAATCCCTTGAGGTCACCGATCTGGCCTCCCCACCACCACACACACACACCACTGGCAACCAGGGGGCGTGACCATCGCGGCACCATAGACCAATCTGGCCCTTCTGTGTCCTTGGTCTCTGTCCTGGCCATCGCGACCAAGAGGCCAAACACCCCAGGGTTCCTGGAGGCATCTTGCCCTTCTCATGCCCAAAGGCTTTCCCAGACCCCAAGAGACCCCCTACATGGTGGTGGAGAGGACCACTGGGAGAATGTAACCCTGGGAATTTAGGGGGAAACCACGAATTTGAGGGAAGAGAGGGAAAAAGGAAGGTCTAGAGGGAGAGAGAAACTGAATATGGTGAGAGGTGACCTAACCTTCTTCAGGGAAAGGCACCCCCAACCTCCACACCCTCCTGTCACATGAAGCGGGGAGGTCAGGTCAGCAAACGCTTCCTGGCAGAGCCAGAATTTTGGGGGCCAAGATTATGGGAGGTTAGGAGGTGTCAAAATGGGTACATGAAGGAGCTGAAAAGATCCTGTCTGAGGTTCCCAGCCCAGCTGGTGGGAGGTGTCATTCTGGTGTCTTCCCCAACTTATTCAGAGGTTTCAGAAAAGAAACTTGATAGGGGACTGAGGCATGGAGGGCATGGGAGTGTGAAGAGGGAGATGGCCATCCTCAGGTGTCCTGTGCTGGCCAACTGACACCAGGTGCCCTCCCACACCTTCATGTCCCCCCACATACATACTGTGCTTTCTGCTCCATGCATTAATATGCTTAGCCCCATCCCAAAGAACCATCTCCCTCTGCCCCATCCCTTTCCCTATCACATACATTTGTGTCCATGCCCCCCTCCCCCGGCACACACACAAACTCAGAAGCAGCTCATCCTTGCCTGAAACTTAGGAGGCTTCCAAGCACAGGACCAGAAAGGGTGGCACTTGGCACCAGGGTGAACCTGTCATGCAGGGAGGGGAGGATGAACTTAATTAGGTGTATGTGAACCATGTTTTTAAATCTTTTTGTAATGCAAAGGCCTGATTGAACTTTGATTGCAGAGGCATCCACATCAAGGATGGCCATCTCCAGTAAACACATTGCCAGCCACACAAGTAGATGAAGAGCCAGGCTGCCTCCCCCACTGAGGGCCTTTTGTTTTAGAAAAGTTGGTTGACCATTTGGGCCATTTTTTTTCCTTTCCTTGCTTTATTATTATTTTTAACCCTCACCCGAGGATACTTTCTTCCATTTTTATCTTCAGATAGAGTGGGAGAGAGAGAAACATCAACGTGAGAGAGACATGTCGACTGGTTGCCTCCCACACAACCCTGACCAGGGCAGGATCCAACCGCAACCGAGGCACATGCCCTTGACAGGAATCAAACCTGTGACTCTTTGGTCCGTGGGTCAGCACTCTACTGCTGAGCCAAACCGGCCAGAGCTCCTTTCCATGCTTCAAATTCACCACTAACGAGTGAGCTCATGAAACCCTAGGCCTCACCCTCTACCCCGATAAAAAACCCCAGGCCTGCCCTGGCCGGTGTGGCACAGTTGGTTGAGTGGGGTTCAATGCACCAAGAGGTCCCAGGTTCCATCCCAGGTCAGGGTACATGCCCAAGTTGTGGGCCAATCCCCAGGCGGAGGCGTGCAGGAGGCAGCCCACGAATATTTCCCTCTCTCATTGATATTTCTCTCTTGTCCCTCTTTCTCTGTCTAAAATCAATAAAAACATTTTTTTTAAAAAAGAACCCCAGGCCTGCCTACCCCCTCCCCCATAACCTGTGTGGTCCCAGGTGTACTATGTAATTTTCAGGTCCTGTAAGGTGTCTTGCAATCATAAGAACCACCATGGCTGGTCCAGTCACAATATTTGTTATTAATAGGCTGAGATGGACCCAAAACACTCAGGTGTGGCTGGAAGCAGGGGTTTGTGTTTCTTGCTTCAGGAATTGTGTCCACAGTTGAGGTTCAGGGAATGGACAAAAAAGAGAAGCCAGGGTCAGAACTGAACACCCTGCTTTGGCTAGTGAAAGCTGATCTTCAGAACCCATTCTTTCAATTAACCATCCCTCCAGCCTAGGAGGCGTGCTCCTCAAAAACAACAACCCCCCCCCCCCACCCAGGGTGCTTCCCTCTGGACTAGATCATTGTAGGCCTCATCTCATCCCCAGGTCTATTGAGGGTCACCTGTATGAGTCCCTTCTGGCATGACAGCAGCCTGGTTCCCCTGTCTACCTGCTCACCCATCCACCAGCAGTGCCCTCCTAAGTCTTATCTGCCTGACCAGAGGCCTGTCCTGCTGTCTTCTATGGTGCAACGATCCCTCCAAGGCTAAGCTGACCCCATCCTGTATTTCATTGAGATCTGGACTCTGCCCTCATCTAAGAACATTTCCCTCAAATTTGGTCCATCAACAAGGGGATGGATTACACAAACCAAACATACCCCGTAATCCCTACAATGGAATAGTCCTCAGCAATAAAAAGCAACAAACTACCAAGACACTCAAAACAGGGACAAATCTCAAAAACATTCTGCTGAACAAAAGAAGCTACACACACACACACACACACACACACACACAGAGCCTTCACTGTATGATTCCATTTATAGAACATTCTGGAAAAATGCAAGCTAATCTATAGTGACAGAAAGCAAAACAGTAGTTGCTAGGAGCTGGTGGGGTGGGGGAGACTGTTGGACCACCCTATCGTAGCCACTCTCAGATTCCTAACCCTCAGAAACTGTATGACAATGAGTGCTTGTTTTAAGCTGCTAGGTTTGGGGGTAATTTGCTACACAGCAATAGCTAACTACCTCAGGTTCACAAAACCTTAGAAGCTGGATATTCAGTACAAGTGTTGGTGAAAATATGGAGAAATGGGAAACCTTGTGTACTGTTGGTGGAGACGTAAAATGGTGCAGCTGTTGTGAAAGAAGACAGTATGGAGGATCCTTAAAAAATTAAACTGAGAATTACTATATGATCCAGCAATTTTACCCAAAAGAATTGAAAGCAGGGACTCCAAGAGATATTTACACACTTGTGTTCATAGCAGCATTATCTACAATGGCCAAAAGATGGAAGCAACCCAGGTGTTTATTATTGATGAGGAATGGATAAACAAAATGTGGTCCATCCATAAGATGGAAGATCATTCAGCCTTAAAAAGGAAGGAAATTGTCGCACAGACTACAATATGGATGAAATTTGAAGATATTAAGCTCAGTGAAATAAGCCAGTCACAAAAGAACAAACACTATATGAGTCCACTTATATGAGGTTCATTGAGGAGTCAAATCTATAGAGACAGAAAGTAGATGGTGGGTGCCAGGGGCTGAGGGAAGGAGATGGGGAGTTATTGTTTAATGGGGACAGAGCTTCAATTTGGGAAGATGATAATATTTTAGAAATGGATGGTGGGGATGCTTGCAGAACACTGTGAATGTATGTAATGCCACTGAACCATACACTTAAAAATGGTTAAGATGGGCCATGGCCAATGTAGCGCAGTAGTTAGAATGTCAGCCCACACACCAAAGGTTCTCAAGTTTGATTCCCAGTCAAGGGCCTGGGTGCAAGAGGCAACCAACTGATGTGTTTCTCTCACATTGACATTTCTCTCTCTGTCTCTTTCTCTCCCTCTCCTCTTCCTCCCTCCCTTTCACTCTCTCTCTCTGAAAACTGATGGCAAAAATATCCTTGGGTGACAACTAACAAAACAAGATGACAGCTCAATCATCCACTCCTCCATCATTAACTGAATGCTTACCACTGTATGCCTGGCACCATTCCAAGAGCTGGGGACACTGCAGGGAGCAGAAGAGACCCCTACATGGAGCTAATAGGGCTTCCAGCCAAGTGACCTCAGATTCTTGCATAAGTATGCCAAACTGAACACTGATGGAAAGGGAGAAAGTACTTTGTCTCAAATGGCTCCTCAGAGGGAGTTCAAGACATACAGAGGCGGAGTCCCAGAGGGTGGCATGCATTGCAGGGTTTCACAGAGGAATCTAAGTTTAGGGAGTCCCAATCTTCAAGGTTTCAGGGTCTCAGGAGGCTTCTAATCTGGTGAATTCTGGGACTTCTTTGTCCCAGTGGGAGAGGGGTCTCACTCTCCTATTCTAGTCTAGATCCCCTTCCTTCTTTTGTAGACAAAGCAGATCAAGGTTCAGCTGCCTATACGACAGGCTGAACTGGACAATTGGCTAGTCTAAGACCCAGCCCAGGCCTCCCTGGGGGGGAAGGAAAGGGTGGGCATGGGGAGATAGAATCATCATTTCTAGAAGCTGGCCTCCCAGACTGGATGGATACTCTAGCCCCAGTTCCCAGATCCCTCTTACCCCTGCAACCTACCCACGGACTAACCAAGGATCTGCAGCAGTGCCCTTCCATCTTATTCCAGTGGATAGAGGGCCAGCCTCAAGTCTGGGCAGAGTGAGACAGGTAAGCACCCCCACTCTGCTTGGCTTCCCTGACTGGGTGGTCAAAGCAGAAAGGTGGAAACCCCCCTTCCTCATCATTGGTTCCTTGGCTGGGCCTCAAAGCCCGTTGGCTGCACCTTGGGGTGGGCGAAGGAGGAGGCCCTTCCACGTCTGTTCAACTTGGCTCCAAGGAGAGCCCCCCCCCCCCCGCAGTTGCGCAATGCCTCAGATCCCCCTCAATATGCTTCAGGCCAGGTCCCAGCCAATGGAAGCCGAGCCCAGAATTCAGGGCCCCTGCTCCTAGGGCCGGCTGCTGGACCACCTTGGGGAGAACAAAATTAGGGTCACCCTTTTCCACGATCCCAGGGCGCCAGGAGTCGGGGGCCACCTGAGAGAACCCGGAGGGAGGCAGGACTGAGACGTCAGGTGGGCGGGGCGGGGCGGCACCTGGCTACTGTCCCGCCCTCCCCGATTCACCCAGCCAGGCCCGGGAACAAACTGCGGGAGAAGGGACCCAGGAGTTGGGCCCAGCTCTGCTCTGAGCGGTGAGTAGATGGCCCTCTCCGCCACTGGGAACTGGATTGCCCGGTGTGTGGTCGGGCCCATGGGAGGACTGCCCCAAATACGGCTGGCACTGTGGCCTGAGCCCACGGCCACAGTCCAGAGCACACGGCAACTGGGAAGAAGGTGGGGGCAGAAAGAGAGTAGGCCCTGCTCAGGCCAAGTGCGCAGGGCAGGAGGTTAGGCAGGCCTGGCCAGGGGCAGAGTGAAGATCAAGAGGCTGGGGTCTATTAAGTGGGGGGGTCTTCATCATATTCCCCTCTCCTTGGCGGCTGAGAAAATAGCAACAACTCATCTCTGTGAGCCCCTCAAGGCTCCAGAACCACCAGTTGGGATCTTCATCAGGCTGCCCCCTCCAGGACTCTAGAACCTCAATATTCCCCAGACCCCCAAGTCCTGGCAGGGCAGCTTGGAAAAGTATTAGGTTGGGAGTTCCCAGGTGTGGGGCCCCACCTGAGATCTGCTACTAAGGGTCACCCTCCCCTACCCAGGCCTCAGTTTCTTCTGCCTTGTATAAAAGTCAAAGGTTAGACCTTGTGCCCTCCAAGGTCTGTCCCAGGGTTAACAACTGCTGCTGTGTCATTCTTTCCCCTTACCATGGACTGTGGGTGGGGACAGGGGCTAGACCAGGAGTACTCACTAATGCCATGGTTTTAGAGGCAATTTGGGGGATTGGGAAGGGCCTGAGGGAGGAGAAGCAAGGGTCATTTGTGGATAGTTGGAGCTAAGACTGGGTAGGGGGCATGTACCTGGTGCTAGGCTGACAGAAACTCCTTCTTCAACCTGGCATGCAGAGCAGCCACAACCTGACCAGGAATCAAACCCCTGCATTCCCCTACTGAAGTTCTTTTGGCAAAGATGCTGGTTTCCGCCAGAGGTTTTCTCCCAAAGTGGAACAGAGTGGATGCAAACAGACAGATGGGACTTGGGGGTTGTGCCTCAAAAGCCATCTGTATCTGTGAAAACTTGAGCAAGTTTTTTTTCTCCCTTTGAGTCTGGAAACAGAGGGTTCCAACACCCATGCTCACTGAGATATGGTGGCTGTAAGTTGTGTGGTCCCATCGTTGTTTTTCTTAGGGGTTTCCCCCGTGCCGAAAGTCCTTTTCTCTAGACCCTCCCACTAACCCTGCTCAGACAAAGGGGGGGCCATTGTGTCTGTGGAAAGCTTAATGGCAGGTTCCAACTATCAAGTTTGAGTCATGGAGACACATAATGATAAACCCTCATGTCTGCCTCTGATGGTGTTGTATATGTACCTTATTCCATGGGAACCACTGGGCCATCTGCTGGAGACCTTGGGGGTCTCTACCTTCTTGACTTTGAATGTGAACCCCGGAAGTGAGCTTCCACTGTTGTGAGATGGATCCTGAAGTGTGACAGAGACTCAGGTAGGAAGTCTCTGACTCTGTGTATGGCATTTCTGCTGCAGCCCCCAGAGTTACTGTTCTTTGGTTAACCAGCTGAGCAATGTCCTTTACAGGGACAGGTAGCTAGGGCAGGGGAACAGTGGGTGGCAGGGACTGGAAAAGGGTATATGGTGTCTCCCTGGTCCTAGGTCTCCCCTCAGCTCAGTGTGTGTGCAGTTATGCCCACATGCACCAATATGCACACTTCAGAATGCCCCTAGGTGATCCTTTTGATGGCTGAAATGTACTCTGGGCACTGGGGGCTGTTAAGATGCCCTGGGTGTGTTTCTATCAGATTCCCTGGTGACTGAGACTGACTGGGATGCACTGGGGCATTTTCTTTTTTTTTGGTATGTGCCCCTAGAGGGAACCAAACCCGGGACTCTCTGGTCAGCAGGCCGACGTTCCAACAGCTGAGCCAAACCAGCCAGGGCCGTAATGGGGCATTTTCACTCAGCTTTTTAAGATGGTATAAAACTGAGTATGAGGGATGAGCCATTGCACAAGGAATCTTGTGTTCTCTGTGTACCTCCTTGCATGTGCCTGGTACTGGGTGAGTCAGGGACTGAGTCAAGGAACCTAGAAGTCCAGATGTAAGCAGACGTGTACCCACCTTGCTGGCCTATCCCCATCCTGGTACAGTAGGATTAGCGGGTGGGGCCTGTATCTTCTATCCCCACCCACTTAATCCCCAAGGCTTTCAAGGGATGAGAGGATGGAAAGGGAGGTATAGAGGTGTTGGAGCCTTTGGCCAAGGTGTGGGACTGAGTCAGGTTCCCCCTAGAAATGGGTGAAAGGCTGGAGGACCAGCTGGTGGCCCAGATGCTCCCTTCATTGCCCAGCCTACACCCAGTGAGGCTATCAAGATGAGGACAGCGGGCTCCAGGAACCCTTTGGGGAAAAAGGAGTATAGAGTCGGCCCTCATTTATCGCGGTTAATCAGTTCCAGGCTCTACCACTGTGATAGAGTAAAGCCGTAAAAGGCGAAGCACAAAGTGGTGAGGGACGACTGTACATTGAGAACCATGGATGCTGGGAGGGGCAGGTGGCCTAGGAGCCCCCTCAGAGGCAGTAAGGGCCTTGTTGCCTCCCTCCTTCCACCTCCAGCCTCCAGGAGAGAAGTGAGAGGCTCCTGGTCCAGGCTTGTGGCCTTCGTGTGATTTGCACTTGGCCATCTGTATCTGGAATAATACCTTGGTCTAAAATGAAACCCAGGGACAGGCAGTGGGCTCGCTGCCCAGGAGCCTGACAGCCCAGTCCTGTCCCAATCGTGGGTGTCACACTGGCTTTCTCCCTTAGTTTTTCATTTCCTGATCCTCTACCACAGCCTCACCCACCCTGGCAACCCTCTGTCCTAAGCCTTTCAGAGCCCAAGTGTCTGTTTTCTGCCTCAGATTCTGGACACTAGCCCCTCTGGAAACCTAGGTGTACTAGCCACCCCACCTCTACCCCCCCCCCCCCACCCCGACACCCCCACCCCCCCCCCCCCCCCCCCCCCCGGGTGGGGGGGGGGGCTGACCAGACTTCAGTTTTGCCACTCCCTACCCCTGGGGCCTGTAACCAGAGCCAGGCTCCAGCCGGCTTTTCCGGTTGGAGCTTGGAGGTGGTGCCTCAAGCTCCCCTCAAAGAGGTGGCAGGGGAAGTTGGAGTTTGGAGGTGGTGCCCCAAGGTCCCCTCAAGGGGGTGGCAGGGCCCACGCCCCGGAAGTCCTGAGCTTTAACTTTATCCTCTGGTTCAGTGGTGCAGAGAGCTGGGTCGAACACCCAGATACCTAGTGTCTGGAGTCTAGAGAGCAGCAGAGGGAGTTTTGCCTGGTTCATCGCTAAGGGAGGGCGATGCCCTGGTTCTGAAAGGACACATGGGCTAGCTGGGGGACAGTGGCTTTGTGGACAGCCCGTACTGAGCTCTGAGAGGGTAGGCAGGTTCAGATTGGTGCAGAGATTCCAGGGAGCAGAAGTGGTGAGAACATTAGTCCCTTGGCTCCAAGAAGGAGGTGTGTTCTGGGGGAGAAGGAAAGGGGACACACAGCTCCAGGGTTCTGCCAGATTTTGGCAAGGTTCTGACAGATATGGAGCAGAGTCATGAGTCTGGCTCCCAGGGGGTCCAACCTGCAGGCACCCCTGCTTGAGGTCTCAGCACTCACACTTCCTCCTCTCCCTTAGGCAGGATGATTCCAGTGGCTGAGTTCAAGCAGTTCTCAGAGCAGCAGCCAGCCTTCAAGTTGCTCAAACCCTGGTGGGATGTACTGGCTGAATATCTCACAGTGGCTATGCTTATGATTGGGGTCTTCGGCTGCACCCTCCAGGTAAGGGGAAGGGCAGGGCAGGCCCTGAAAAAGACACTGGAGAGGCAGAGTCTGTATGGGGGTGGAGCTTTAGAGAGTGTGGCCTGGGGAATTCTGGAAGTCTTCCTCTTACCCAAGGAAGGGGAAACCAGAGGCCCCTGTACTCACAGACCAATTCAACACCTTTCCATTTCCTCCAACACTGGCAGCAGCACCAAAATCCTACACATAGCTATGATAGTCCATACTTGTATAATGCTTTTGTCCCTAGGACCTAGAAAGAACTGCAGTTACCTTATTAGTTTGGTAGGGCTGTCATAACAAAGTATCAAACTGGGTAACTCAAACAGAAATGTTTTGTCTTACAGTTCTGGAGACTAGAAGTCTGAAATCAAAGTGTCAACAGGGTTGGTTCCTTCTCAGGGCTGTCAGGGAGAATATGTCCCATGCTTCTCTCCTAGATTCTGGTGGCTTCAAGCATTCCTTGGTTTATAGATGATGTTTTCCCTATATGTTCATAATATCTTTCCTCTATGTGTATGTGTTTGTGTCCAGATTCTCCCCTTTTAAAAAAGACACAGTCATATTGGTTTAGGGCCCGCCCTAAAGTCGTCGACTTAACTCAACTCCATCTGCTCTGGAAAGACTAGTTCCAAACACTGCTACATTCACAGGTATTGGGGGTTAGGACTTCAACATCTTTTGGGAGGACACAATTCAACCTAATTCTTTTTTTCAGACAAATACAGAAGCTCAGGTTTAATGACTCTTCTAAAGTCACAGTTAGCTGGAGACAGTCAGGGATCAGGGCCTCCCAGCTCAGCCTACTTCTCTCCCAATTCTCCAGTTCCCTCACCTTTTTTCACCCTCTTCCCTATCCTCAGGTGACACAGGACAAAATCATCTGTCTTCCCAGTCATGAACCCCGGGAAAACTTATCTGAGACCCCGTGTCAGCAACTGCTGCTGCAAGGAGTCCCCGAAAAGATGGGGGATTTCCAGGAAGTGAGCGGCCTCAAAAACAACCTAGACCTGCAGCAGTACAGCTTCATTAACCAGCTCTGCTATGAGAAGGCCCTCCACTGGTACCCTAAGTACTTCCCCTACCTGGTTGTCATTCACACGCTCATCTTCATGGTCTGCACCAGCTTCTGGTTCAAGTTCCCCGGCACAAGCTCCAAGATTGAACACTTCACCTCCATCCTGGGCAAGTGTTTTGACTCACCATGGACCACACGGGCCCTGTCTGAGGTCTCAGGGGAGAACCGTAAGGGCCATGCCACTAGACAGGCAACAGCAACTATGGCAGGTGAGGCAGGACCAGAAAAGGCTGGGGAGGGTGAGAAAGAGAAGGTGCTGACAGAGTCTGAGAAGGTGGTGACTGAGCCACCAGCTGTTACCCTTTTGGACAAGAAGGAGGGTGAACAGGCCAAAGCCCTGTTTGAGAAGGTCAAGAAGTTCCGTGTGCATGTGGAAGAGGGGGACATTTTATACACCATGTACATCAGGCAGACGGTGCTCAAAGTCTGCAAGTTTTTTGCCATCCTGGTCTACAACCTCATCTATGTGGAGAAGATAAACTTTGTGGTGGCCTGCACAGTAGAAACTTCAAGATTCACGGGCTATGCCAGCTTCTGCTGCAACCACACCAAGGCCCACCTCTTCTCCAAGCTGGCTTTCTGCTATATCTCCTTCGTATGTGTCTATGGGATCACCTGCCTCTATACACTCTATTGGCTCTTCCACCGGCCGCTCAAGGAGTACTCCTTTCGTTCCGTGCGGGAGGAGACTGGCATGGGTGACATTCCTGATGTCAAGAATGACTTTGCCTTCATGCTGCACCTCATCGACCAGTATGACCCACTGTACTCCAAGCGCTTTGCTGTCTTCCTCTCTGAGGTCAGTGAAAGCCGCCTGAAGCAGCTCAACCTCAACCACGACTGGACACCTGAGAAACTTCGGCAGAAGCTGCAGCGCAACACCAAGGGCCGGCTAGAGCTGGCACTCTGCATGCTCCCAGGACTGCCTGACACTGTCTTTGAGCTCCGTGAGGTGGAGGCACTCCGGCTGGAGGCCATCTGTGATATCACCTTCCCCCCAGGCCTGTCACAGCTGGTGCACCTGCAGGAACTCAGCCTGCTCCACTCTCCTGCCAGGCTGCCCTTCTCCTTGCAGATCTTTCTGCGGGACCGCCTGAAGGTCATCTGTGTCAAGTGTGAGGAGCTCCGTGAGGTGCCCCTCTGGGTGTTCGGTCTGCGAGGCCTGGAGGAGCTGCACCTTGAGGGGCTCTTTCCCCCAGAGCTGGCTCAGGCAGCCACCCTTGAAAGCCTCCGGGAACTGAAGCAGCTCAAGGTGCTGTCTCTTCGGAGCAATGCAGGCAAGGTCCCAGCCAGCGTGACCGATGTGGCTGGCCACCTGCAGCAGCTTAGCCTGCACAACAATGGGGCCCGCCTGCTGGCCCTTAATAGCCTAAAGAAGCTAGTGGTGCTACGAGAGCTGGAGCTGGTGGCATGTGGGCTGGAGCGCATCCCCCATGCTGTCTTTAGCCTGGGCGCACTGCAGGAACTTGACCTCAAGGACAACCACCTGCGGTCCATTGAGGAGATCCTCAGCTTCCAGCACTGTCGCAAGCTGGTCACGCTCAGACTATGGCACAACCAGATCGCCTATGTCCCTGAACATGTGCGAAAGCTGCGGGTCCTTGAGCAGCTCTACCTCAGCCACAATAAGCTGGAGGCCCTGCCCACCCAGCTGGGCATGTGTTCTGGCCTCCGCCTGCTGGATGTCACCCACAACGGGCTGCACTCCTTGCCACCTGAGCTCGGTCTCCTCCAGAACCTGCAGCACCTGGCTCTCTCCTACAATGCCTTGGAGGCCCTGCCCGATGAGCTCTTCTTCTGCTGTAAGCTTCGGACATTGCTCCTGGGCTACAACCAACTGAGTCAGCTGTCTCCCCAGGTGGGGGCCCTCAGGGCCCTCAACCGCCTGGAGCTCAAGGGCAACAGATTGGAGGCACTGCCCGAAGAACTGGGCAACTGTAGAGAGCTCAAGAAGACAGGGCTTCTGGTGGAGGACACCCTCTATGAGGGCCTGCCGGCAGAAGTTCGAGAGAAGATGGAGGAGGAGTGAAATCAGGGAAGGGCAGGTTGAAGTGCAGACTTTCTGGATGCTTCTGTCCCAAAATCTCTACCATTGTCTTCAAGGGAGTTAGCCAGGTAGGCCCAGGCCAGGAGAGGAGGAACAGATATGTCAGCTGGTGGGGCCCAGGCATGATCCTGGAACTGGTTTGTCTGGGGAGATGGGAAACTGTGGATCTGGGGTGGAACAGCATGGAGAGATTAACTTAGTCATAGGATTCTCAAACTAAAACCACATCTCTGTCTTTGGCTGGGTGGCCTGCCCCCAGCCCTGGGCCAGAACGAGAGCCCTCCCCCTGGACATTCTAGCTCAATCACTGCCACAAAACGGGGAGGGGACTCATCCCAACAGGATTTCTCCCCCTCACCAAAACAGCTTATATCTGGGGTTCTCTCCCAAGAAGGGGACACCAACACAAGGAACGAGCACATACTGCTCCAACTTAATGTTAATCCCTTATATATAAGTTGATTGCTATGGACACATGAACTCAGAAACAAGGTTCTCTTATTTGGCTATGCATCAAAATCAATATTCCCAAAACACATCGCAGGCCCCACCCCAAAAGACTGACTCAGAAGCTTTGGCTGGAGGCCAGGAACTTGCCTATAAATAAGCATTCCAGGTAATTCTGATGCATGTGGTCCTAGACCTGTATGTTGGGAAATGCTGACCTACAGAGGAGATAGCTGGATATCTAGAGTGGGGATTCTGAACCCTTTGTAGGTCCCTAGACCCTTTGAGAATCTGATGAAAGGTAGGTACCTCCTTCCTCAGGAAAATGCTTATATGCACATTCATGCACAATTCTTCAAACAATTTCAGGCAGTCAATAAATTCCACCAGCTCCCCAAGGGCTATTCATGGCTGTCCTAAGGATTGCAGACCCCAGGTTAAGAACATCTGCTGTAGAAGGTACTTTTTTTTTTTTATCCTCACCCGAGGACATTTTTCCATTTTTTTTGTTCAGATAGAGTGGAAGGGAGAGAGAGAAAGAGAGAGAAACATCGACATGAAAGGGACACATCGAGTGGCTGCCACCCATACGACCCAACCAGGGCTGGGGACAAACTGCAACCGAGGTACATGCCCTTAGCGGGAACCGAACCCAGGTCTCTCTGGACCACAGGCTGATGCTCTCACCGCTGAGCCAAACTGGCCAGGGCTAGAAGGTACATTTTAAAAATAAATAATACTAATTATCAGAACTATCATTCTGATTTCCTCTGTCCACCGCTGTTGTTGTCTAAGCTATTTCACTATATCAATTATAGGCAAGTGGTCACATGTATCACAATAAAGAGCAGGAGTCTCTGTCCTAGATACTTCAGGTAATCAGGAAAAATTAGGTGGCATCTCCTGTCTAGCTTTTTTCCTGAAGAATCCCTTTTCTTATACCTTCCCTGTTATCCTCCTGACTCTGTACTTTTAAAATTTATTTATTGATTTGCAGGGGGAGACATTGATTTGTTGTTCCACCCATTTATACATTCATTAGTTGCTTCTTGTACGTGCCCTGACTGGAGATCAAATGCACAACTTTGGCGTATCCAGATAATGCTCTAACCAACTGAGCTACCCGGCCAGGGCTAACTCTATACTTTAGTATCTGCTTCAACCCTAAGTCATCATCACGAGGGGTCCCCTCAGCTGGACCAGCCTGCCTGACGCTGACCTCTTGGGCTTGGTCACCTCCTAGGTTTCTAAAAAATGCAATTCTCCTTCTGGCACCTAAGAACAGAGGCAAGCTTCTGTTTAATCCGGGGATCCAGGATTTCAGATGGGGACATTTTCCCACCACCCTCAGACCAGTTAAAGGAATATTTAGGCGGTAGGGACGCCAGGCAGAGACACTTTACCCCAGGGCCAGTCTTCTGCATTGTCCAGGCAGGAGCAGGGCTCGCGTTCTGGATCAGGAGAGATGGGGAGAAAGTCTTAAAATGCCCTAGGCTAGTCTGACCTGGAAGTCTAATCACTACTTTGGCCGTCGCGAGGTCAGGGGTCACACTGCTGGGTTCCCAGGGCCCCCGACAGTGGCCCAAGACCTTCCCAGGCTCTCCCCCCTGCCCTTAGGCAACCCTGGGTTTGCTGAAATGGAAGGGTGCCTAATTTTGATGAGGCAGCAATTATGCATAACGGATCCTAATGAAGCATGTCCTAAGTGAAAAAGGAGTTCTGAGAGTGCGTAGGTGCCAGAAGGGCCCAGCCAAAAACACCGAAGAGAAGACTGAGGACACAGCCCTGGCGACAACTCACGACAGCGCCCACACAGCAGACACCAGGGGGGAGACTTTGTCTCCTGTTCTGTACACTTTCCCCGCCCATCGCTCTCTTCAGAAGGCGGAGTACAGCTTCCACACACCGCGGCTCACCAGAGCCCTCAAGAACTCCCTCAAGAGCATCTCAGAGAGAGTTTTTTTGTTTTTATTTTCTGGTAAAATTTATATAATGATATTAGTGGTTTGGGCCATAACCTTCAGCGGGAGTTTTGCCAGCCGCAAGCTCTAGGTGGCGTCATCCCTTTGGCTGAGAGGACGCACGCACGCGCGGAGGTTCGCACGAGGGGGGCCAGTGCGCACCGCGGGCATGCGCCTGAGGGGTGAGACGGCGGCTCGGCGGGGTCACCCAGACGCAGGCGCAGTGCGGTGTTTGTCTGCCGGGCTGACGGGCGGCCGGGCAGTGCGCGGCGGCGGCGGCGGCGGCGGCGGCGGCGGCGGGAAAGATGGCGGCGTCCTCCCTGGAGCAGAAGCTGTCCCGCCTGGAAGCAAAGCTGAAGCAGGAGAACCGCGAGGCCCGTCGGAGGATCGACCTCAACCTGGATATCAGCCCCCAGCGGCCCAGGCCCAGTAAGCACAGCGGCGTGGGGGAAGGGGCGGGCGGGGCGGGACGCGCTCTGCGGGAGGCCCCGCCCCCGTGTATAGGCCCCGCCCCCTTTCCGGGGCGCTTTGGCTTCTCCTCTTCACCGCTACCCCCACCTGTCGGCTCGCGTGGATAGGGTCACGGTGACCCCGGGCCAAAGGGGCTGGCAGGCTCCCGGGCGGCTCTACCCCGGCCTGGGGGATTCTCCCTTATGGGGCCTGGGAGACTAGTTACCCGGGTCCACCTGACGACCCGCCCCCATCCCCATGAACTCCGGAGCCTCTATCACCTATGTGAACCGTGTTTCCCCTACTCCATGCGACTGGGACTCCATCTAGGTCCTCTGCAAATTCCCACACATCCTTTTTGACCCAGTGGTTCTACTCGCTCTATCTCAGTGATTGTTAAGAGGCCCATACTCTCTCTCCACGTATGGGTCCTTGTCATACGGGTTCAAGGGATGATCCACTCACATACACCTGGCCTGGGATATCTGAGGTCACTTGACCACATATAACCCCCCTTATTCCTTTGACCAGATGATTCTCCCACTCCCTTCCTGTTGATTGGGGATCCCTTCACCAGAGTCGGACTAGGTTATTGGGCTCGGCAGACTCCCGCCACACTCTATTCACATACACCAGGCCCCTTCATACTCCTCTGACAAGTTTCACTACTGTCATCTTGGTGACTGTCTAGCCCCTCAAAAATGCACACCCAACTCCCATCCTGGACACTTTGTCATTTGTGCTCAGTGACTTCCTCTTCCCTGCACACCCATACTGACTTGGCCAGGGGACACCTGAGGCCAATATGGTGATACCTAGCATCCCAGCACTCATACACTTCTCTCAGTGCCTACTTTCCTGACATCTTGTCATCTGGAATTAAGAATTGTCCCCGCAACACTCCCAACTGCCCTGGGATCACCATGATTACATTTAGTCTCCTTGTTATGTCCCACAGAACCTCCTCAAGTCCTCTCAGCTGGAGGGCATCAGATTTCCATGTCCACACAGACCCGATGAACAGCACCTACAACTCTTTCTGTGTCTTTCTTGCCCTCTTTAATACTCTCTCTGATATGACCCTTGTAATTTATGTAGCTCCTGTGGGGTCATTTTGACAGGAAGAGGAGATACCCTATATCTGAGTCCTCCATCTACCCCCTACTCACCCAACCTGACCTTCACAGCTTGACACCCACCCCAATCCGTGTGTAGGACCCACTCCCCATCCTTTCCTCCCTGATTCAATGTGGGTTCCTCCCTAAGAGGGGTCTCCTGGGGGCCCAGAGAAAGCCTTGAAGTGGCAATGCTGGTGATGGACACTCCCTGGGGCAGGAAACCCAGCCAGGAGTGGAGGGTCCATGCTGGACTCTGCAGTGCTGCCCTCTCCCCAGCATGAACAAGACAGGGCTGGGTATGGGGCCTGGATGCCTTATGGGGGTGGCTGTCCCAGTTGCAGAACGAGGCACAGCGAGGCCCAAGGCGGGCAAGCCCTTGAGGAGTCCCACTGTAAGCATCTGTGTCTGTGTCAGCTCCATCCCATCCTTCCAGCCCTCCCATCTGTCAGTTTCTACCCATCTCTGCAGTTTGGTGCTTCGCACCTCCCCATCCTCCTCATTATGATTTGATTTCTTTTCTTTTGGACAAATTGGTTGTTTATGTTGTGATTTATTGTCGTGTTGTTTTTTTTCTTCCTTCTCCCCATCCAGTTATTGTGATCACTCTAAGCCCTGCTCCTGCCCCGTCCCAACGAGCAGGTACCAGCCTTTTTATCATTGCTGCTTGGACATCTGCACCATTGACTTAACCGCTGCCCCGGCCGCAGAATCCCATCCCCATCCCTCCATGCCGTGTGTGTGTGCGCGCGCGCGCGCGTAAGTGTGTACGTGCACGTACACATACGTACAAATCTCCTCAAACTCTCTCACTTTCACTTTCTCCCTCCATGAGATCCACCCCACCTCTTACTCTGTGTCCTCTTACCTCCCCCTCCTCCCTTCCTCTCAGAGGCAGGTTTGAACTCCCTGGAAGAGGAACTGGGCTCCCTCACTGTGTGTCACTTGTGAGGGAGTCACAGGTGTGTGCATGCATGTGTATAAGTGAGAAGGAGAGAAAGGGATACCAGTGGGTCAGCTGTGCCTATGTATCCATTTCAGCAGTTCAGGGAATATGTTTTGGCCCCTGTGTGCTGTGCCTCTTCTAAGCTCCAGGGACACAGCAGTGAACAAAACAGACCAAGTCCCACTCCTTGTGCAGCTGATGCTCTACTAGGGATGAGCAGTGAGCAAATACCTGGTTAGGGAGAGCTGGAGAAGGCTATGAGCCTTGGAGAAAAGGCACAGTAGAGCAAAGTTGAAAGTTCTGCAACTGGGCAGTTGGGGCAACCCTCTGGAGAAAGTAGGATTTTTTTCTATTTTTTAGCAATTAAAAAACCTGTATGTATGTATGTATGTATGTAAGTATTTATTTGTTTAATTAATTAATTTATTTATTTTTCATCCTCACCCGAGAACATTTTTACATTTATCTTGAGATAGAACAGGAGGGAGAGAGGAAGAAATATAAAGAAACATAGATGCAAGAGAGACACATCTAGTGGTTGCCACTCACATAACCCCAACTGGGGCTGGGGACAAATTTGCAACCGAGGTACGTGCCCCTAGTGGGAACCGAACCCGGGCCTCTCTGGACTGCAGTGGTTCTCAATCTTCCTAATGCTGTGACCCTTTAATACAGTTCCTCATGTTGTGGTGACCCCCAACCATAAAATTATTTTCGTTGCTACTTCATAACTTATTTTGCTACTGTTATGTCTTAGACGACCCCTGTGAAAGGGTCATTTGACCCCCAAAGGGGTCACAACCCACAGGTTGAGAACCGCTGCTCTAACCGCTGAGCCACACCGGCCAGGGTTATTTATTTATATTTTAATTCATCTTTACTATTGAACGTATTACAGATGTTCCCCCCTCTTTAAAATCTGTATTTATTATATGTTTAAAACATGCTTCCCCTGGCCAGTATGGCTCAGTTGGTTGGGCATCATCCCATGTACCAGTAGGTTGCCAGTTCAATTCCTGGTCAATGATACATACCTGGTTTGTGGGCTTGATCTCTGGTAGGGCGTGTGCAGGAGGCAGCCAATCGATGTTGCGCTCTCACATCCATGATTCTCCCTCTCCCTTCCTCTTTCTCTACAAGTCAGTAAACTATTCTTTAAAAAAAAAAATGCATGCTCAAAGTAAATTCCACCAGTACAAGATTGTAGAATAGTAGATGACAAGCCCCACCATGTCATGGAGGATTTCACTTACTGGATACACAATGATAAACAAAACCACTTCTGTTTTATTCATGAAAATATATGGAGAGCCTTGGACTGTATCTTTGTGGTGGGCTCCCCATTATTTTTGGTATATTGTGCATGGTTCCAATGGCCTGTCACTTGGGGACACTGTAAAATTATTTCTTCTGGAAACAAAGTCTCGTGAGAGGTGGGGGGAATAGGTGAGTGGAGGTAGAGTAATGGCCCTGCCAAGGCCTAAGTGCAGGTGCTAGTGAGTCTGGGAATGGATATGTGCAGCACAGGCCCACGTGTGGGTGTGTGTAAGATATACCAGATTGTGGGTCTGGCCCTGTTGGTCCTGGTGGATAAGTAGGACTAGGTTGGGCAGTGATATGTGTACAAATTTGTGTGTGTGTTTGTGTGTATGTGTGTGTAAGATGGTGTTGGGGGCTCTGGGTTGTGTTGTATAGCTGTCCGCATGTGTGTGTGGGTTTGTGCCATGCTGTGTGTGTGTGTGTGTGTGTGTGTGTGCACGCGCGTGCATGTGCATGTGCATGTGCATGTGCGTGTATGCTGGCTGACAGCCTGGTACATCTGTGGTTCCTGACAGCCGCATGCCCCCATGTTCTCATTCTCTCTAATTCATTCATATATATGTCTATTTCTCTCTTTCTCTCTCTCTCTCTCATTCATCTTCATGTTCTCCCTCTGTCCTTCTGACCTGCTTCACGGCCCATCACCACCTCAGTGCTCACTGACCATTCTGAGACTATATGAATCTCTACCCCCTGCTCCATCCACTTCAAATCCCACTGTGCTTCAGTTTGCAGGGCTGGTGGAAGCCTCTGTCTCCCAGCAGCCTTTTCCAAGGGGCAACTCTCAAAGGCCCAGTGGTCTGTGTGAGGGAGGGCACCCATGGGGCACCAAAAAGTGTGGAGATGGTAGAGATGTGGTCCTTGCTGCAGAGAGGTGACAGTGCAGGGCAGAAAAGGGGTCCAGATACCTCTTGGGATGAGACCCTGACAGTGTCTCAAGAGAGTCCAAGTATAGGGGGAGTACAAAGTGAGATTGTTGAGCCAGAGAGGGAGGGTTTACGACTCCGGTTCAGGCTATGGCAGAGCAGAGGTATAGGGATGTTACAAAGCCAGGGGTGGGGTGGAGGGGCATGGGAGTCGAGGGTTCTGTGCTTGACTATGTCCCTAGAGTCCATAGAACTCTTCCTTTACTCCTGCCAGGCCTTAGCAGGACCTTGTACCCCTTCTAGAACTGCAGGCCAGGGTCATATACCTGTTTCCTCACTCTGGCTAGGATCAGGGTCCTGGACCAAGAGGGTAAGGAGAGTGCCTGGCCACCAGCAACTTAAGCATACCCATTGGTCCCATGTTACTAGATGCTTGCAGAACTGTGGGAGGAAAAGGTGGGCTGCGGTAGGAGGTGTGGAAAGAGAGGAGAGGCATCAGCTGGGAGCAGGCCCAGGCCTGGTCTCCATGGGAAAGTGAACATGGGAGGGTGCTTGTAGCCAGTGTCCACCCCAGCCAAGAACCCGCTTCCAGGGTGCCAGGACCTCTGGGGTATGACGATTCAATGAAGGATTGTCAGTCTCCTCCGGAGGCCACAACAGCCTCTGCTCCTCCACCCTGTTGCCAGCCCAGCCAAGGGAAGCTCCTACCCCCTTAGTGAACCTGCTCTCTTGTCCAGGCCCTTCTCTGGCCTGTCTGTAGCACCCCCAGTCTTGGGCAGCTGGGCCCAGTTTTGGCTCCTGTCTGTTTGTTTCCTGCCCTCCCCTTCCCTAATGCTGCCTGCCTATCCTGGGCTGTCCGCTACCTTCCCGCTGCCTGCCTGCCTGCAGCATGCTCAAGCCATCTACATGCAGGCTGCTGGAAAGAACCAGACCCCTGCCTGGCCTAGCACCCCCTCCAAATCCCACCAGTCCTGTAGGGGCGGTGTCAGCCAGAACCCCTCATTAGCAGGACATAGGCCCAACTGGGGTCCTGCCCTGACCCCTGTCTCTGTTTGCCCGTTATGCAGGCAAGGCTGGGAGGCTCATGAGCCTGCTGTCCAGAGAGTGGCCCTCCCTGACTCTGGAACAGAATGTGGGGTAGGGGAAGCCTGGGTCCCTTGTCCACTATCTCCCCAGGGTGATCTGCCTCACTGTTGTTGGGCAGCCAAATTCATTGTGGCCCACAGGGCCAGAGCCCAGGCTGATCCTGGGGAGACAGTCCTTCTGAGCATGGTCCTGAGCATGGGCACTGTGGCCCTGGGCCTGCTTCCTGGACAGAGTTGGGGAAGACAGGGACACACCAGGGAGGATGCCTGTTGAGGGATGCCATCAGCCTCCAGGCCTTGTTTCTCTGTCAACATAGACTTGGGGATGAACCCTTGGCCTCTGGAGACCACCATTCCCATCCAGCCCACTCCATCTCCTTCTAGGGGAGGGGGATGAGAGAGTACCCTGAGAATGGTTCCAAGGGTGAGGATCCCAGCTCCTCCCACCCAGCAGGGCAGGAGGCCGTGTTAGCCTACCTGAGGGTTCTGGGGAGGGGAAGATCAAGGTCCCTAACCCCCTAGATGCTAGCACTGTAGGTGGGGCCAGCTGGACACTAACCCTATCCATGCCCCTGGCTCTCACCCTCCCCTCAGCCCTCCAGCTCCCACTGGCCAATGATGGCGGCAGCCGCTCACCATCTTCTGAGAGCTCCCCACAGCAACCCACACCCCCTGCCCGGCCCCGTCACATGCTGGGACTCCCATCCACATTGTTCACACCCCGAAGCATGGAGAGGTGAGCCTTCAGAACGGGGCCAGCTGGCCTTTGGGAGGTCAGCATGGAGAGGGCTGCTGGGCTCGCCCCAGGGAGGAGGTGGTGAAATCTGTGGGAACCCGTTTTGGGAACTGGGGCGGCCTCAGGTTGGTCAGACCCCCCCCTCCACCCACACCCACTCCCTGTTCCCCCAGTATCGAGATTGACCAGAAGCTGCAGGAGATCATGAAGCAGACAGGCTACCTAACTATCAGGGGCCAGGTACCACCCTTCCCCCAGCCTCCGGGGGGTGGTAGGACACAGTGGGGCTAGGTCTATGTGGTGGGGCAGAGACTGGACAGAACCCCAGCCCTGATTCTTCTCACCAGCGCTACCAGGCAGAAATCAATGACCTGGAGAATTTGGGGGAGATGGGCAGTGGCACCTGTGGCCAGGTATGGAAGATGCGCTTCCGGAAGACAGGCCACATCATTGCTGTCAAGGTGAGCACCCACCCCACCAGGGTGAGTCCCATGCCCTTCTGCTCTGGTGCTAAGGATCTCCTCCCCTCCTTCCACCATCCCATTCAGCAAATGCGACGCTCGGGAAACAAGGAAGAGAACAAACGGATCCTCATGGATTTGGACGTGGTACTCAAAAGTCACGACTGCCCCTACATTGTGCAGTGCTTTGGGACCTTCATCACCAATGTGAGCCTGACTGCCTAGCCCCTTCTCTGCCCACTGCCTTGAATCTCCTTTCCTGCTCTCTGATCATGCCCCCAAGCCCCTGTCCTCTTCCCCTGATTGGGGTGGGCAGGAGAGTACAGCCACCCCCAAGCTAAACCTGCTGCCCCTGCAGACAGATGTTTTCATTGCCATGGAGCTCATGGGCACCTGTGCTGAGAAGCTGAAGAAGCGGATGCAGGGTCCTATACCTGAGCGGATCCTGGGCAAGATGACAGTAGCAGTGAGTTGCCAGGCAGGGGCTGGGGCAGGTGGCCCAATCCCCATCTTCCCCACACCTGGTCACAGTGCCCTCCCCTTTTCTCAAAGATCGTGAAGGCTCTCTACTACCTGAAGGAGAAGCATGGCGTGATCCACAGGGACGTCAAGCCTTCCAACATCCTTTTGGACGAACGGGGCCAGATCAAGCTCTGCGACTTTGGCATCAGTGGCCGCCTTGTCGACTCCAAAGCCAAAACACGGAGTGCTGGCTGTGCTGCCTACATGGCAGTAAGTGGGGGCCTGGGCGGTCTGGGCATTGCACCCACTTCAGCCACAGGGGTCCATTCTCCTCTTTCCCTGTCTATTCTTCCCCCACCTCTTCCCCTACAGCCTGAGCGCATTGACCCCCCTGACCCCACCAAGCCAGACTATGACATCCGGGCAGACGTGTGGAGCCTAGGCATCTCCCTGGTGAGTTGGGGCCCCAGGGAGGACTGGAGTGACTCATTCTTGAGATATAGGAGGGCAGGAGCCTGTTCTCCGTCACTCCAGTCCCCCATCTCTCCTTAGGTGGAGCTGGCAACAGGACAGTTTCCCTACAAGAACTGTAAGACAGACTTTGAGGTCCTCACCAAGGTCCTGCAGGAAGAGCCCCCACTCCTGCCCAGTCACATGGGCTTCTCGGGGGACTTTCAGTCATTCGTCAAAGACTGGTGAGGAGTCCCTACCCGGGCCCTCTGCTGGGGAAGACAGGTGGCTCAGGTGTGGCCCTGAGCTCCAGGCATTCAGGGAGGTTTTGGGATGGAAAGTCTGCCCTAATGGGGTAGGGCAGCTATGGGCCAGAAGGGGCTCAGGGCAGGTGCTGCAGGCAGGAGCCAGAGCCCTGGGAGCCATGGCTTGGGTTTGGACCTGGCCTGAGGTTCAGCTGGACCCAGGGCATTTGGCTGGGTGGCCTGGGGCTTCACCTTAGGAGGTTGTCAACCATTACAGGACAAAGGGCTTTGGTTGTCAACAATCAGAGGACAAAGGGCTTTGAGTATCCTGCACCAACAAGCAGAATTATGTAGGCAGGACGTTCATACTGGATTCTCCCATGGGGGAACCCCTTCTGCTGGCACTTCACAACATGGTTCAGGTCCCCGTCCTAGGTGGTGTAGGCCCCAGGTCCTCTGAGATTTCCCAGCTAGTGGGCTGGGAGGATGTAGTAGCTCCTTCTCACAGCTTTTGCAGACCCCTGGATCAGCAGGTAGAATAGCTGAGCCCCTCTCCAGGCTCTCACTTCCCTTTCCTCCCTTCTTTCTCCAGCCTTACTAAAGATCACAGAAAGAGACCAAAGTATAATAAGCTACTTGTGAGTACCTGGGGCCCCTCCCACCCTATCCCAGCCTCACTGCCTACTTGTCTGGACACCCAGAGCCTGGGTGAGGCCAGCAGGGAAGCTCACCTTGTCCTAAGCTTCCTCTTGGGGTCCTGCAGGAACACAGCTTCATCAAGCGCTATGAGACGCTGGAGGTAGATGTGGCATCCTGGTTCAAGGATGTCATGGCGAAGACCGAGTCACCGAGGACTAGTGGAGTCCTAAGCCAACACCACCTGCCCTTCTACAGGTAGCCATGTGGCGGCAGCCAGCCCCACTGAGGGGCCCAGAACGTGGCCACAGGCCCCCTCTTCCCTACATGGCCACCCAGCTGCCCACCAGGGGAGACCTGGGAACTGGACGGCCTCCAAGGGCTGAGGACAGAAAGTAGGGGATGCTAACCCAACCCTGAGTCCCTACCCAGCAGACATGGACAAATGGGCCCACTAGGCTCTAGCCCTAGCCCTGGGGTCAGCCGGCTATACAAGTTCCCCAACAGACACTGTGAACGGAAGACAGCAGGCCACAAGCAGACTTGCTATTTATTCAGTTGTAACCTCTGGGCTAGGGTGGCCACGGGGGGCCAGGAGAGAGTCATCCTTTCTGCATTCTCACACACTTACCCATGCTGTCCCTTCCGCCTTTTGTGGTACATATGCTCCCTGTCCCCATCTCCCTCTGTCACCTCTTTTGATGCCTCTCTGGTTTTCCCTGTCTCCCTTCCTGCATCTGCCTCTTTCCTGACCCACACCCAGGCTCTGTTTGTTACCCACAGCAGGACCCCTCGGTCCACCTAGGTCTGTGGCGAGTGATGAGTCCCTTGGCTGGCATCATCATCCCAGGAAGGCGGGCTGGGCATTGTGACTGAAGCTGACCCAGGCTGCTCACACTCTCTTGCTCTCTCTCTCCCTCTCCCTTTACCTCTACCTCTCCCTCTCTCTTTGATCTCAGGGGGTCCTTTTTGGAGTTTATTTTATTGTACTTGGTGGGGTGTTTGGGGGATGGGGGAAGAAGAAGAGCTTGTTCTCATGGGGTTTGTTAGTACCTTCAGAAACTTTTACCAAAGTCATATTTAGCTGCTTGTGATATAGCCCTCAACCTCCCATGGGCATTGGGAGACTGGAGCCAGGAGTCAGGCACGGGCATGGGCCACTGTGCCTTGTCAGGCTGACCTAGAGAGACTAGTTCCAAAGGTGGGTGCTGGGGGTGGTGGCTCCTCCCTTCAGGCTGGAGACTCACAACTTGGGGTGAGTTGAGGACCTCAGGCCATGTGGAAGGAGCCCACGGGGCCATGGCCACACAGTGGCCTTCAGGGAAGACAGGTATGGGGCATGGTGGAAGGCAATAAATGCTGGTATGGCAGGGAGGAAGTGAATGACAGTAGTGGGGGCCACAGGGCCCAAGGAGGCAGGGATTGAGGGTATAGGGAATTGATGTGGGGGTTTGAGGATGTGTGACAGGGACAGAAGAGAGGCAGGCTGAGGGCTGGGGTTGCAAAGGCAGTCACGCTCTCACAGTGCCCCGAGCACCCCTCAAACCTCCCCAGAGCTGGCCAGTCCCCAGTCCACTTTGAGGCTAGGCCATGGGGCCCCTCTCCCCCCCAGCCCTCAGCAGCAGTCAGACCAGGAAGGGATGTGTTTCCTTTTTTTGTTGATGATGCATGCAAATCAGTGGACACACACACACACACACACACCAACCAACCAATGCCAAAGGTGATTAACCTCCCTGGATGTAGCTGGAGCAATCTACACTCAGCATAGGCATCACTGTAACCTCTCTCTCTCCTATTGACGCTTGTTACTCATAACATAGTCACAATAGGCCGCATGTTTAAAAAGTACTCCTTGTCTTCTCTCTGCTCCCTCACTCCAGGGAGGGAGAGCAGCCACTTCTCTTGCCCACATCCCCTTTGTGACTGGATGGGGTGGGTGTGGGGGCAACAGGCCTGGCTCCACCCTTGGGGTGTCCCAACCACGGGGCTTTTGCCCATAACCAGAAGGTTGAGTGTCTGGCTTCAGGGCCAGCAAAGGCCAGAGGCCACTGCCCAGGTTTATTTTTATTTAACTTAATTTTGTTTCATGAGTGTGTGTCTGCCTGCCCCTCTCCTTCAGTGTTAAGTGGGAGCCCTGGGGGAGCCTTATCTCCCCCCCTGCCTCTACCCTGTTTCCTCCCTCTGTCTCCAGTCACCAGCCATTCTTCTGGACCAGGCAGAGGGTTGAGCGGGCAGGCAGGAGCCTGGGGCAACTTGGCCCAGCCCACTAGTCCACAACCCCTTCTCAGGCTGCCAGTATTCCCCTTTCTCTTTTTAAAATGAAACACCCTTGTTTGTAAATCCTTAGATGCTTGAGAATAAAACCCCTCCCTTTTCTTCCTCTGAGTCTGTGGTGTTACCTGAGCTTTGGCAGGATGTGGTGTGAGATGTGGGAAAGGTCTATAAGCCCTGACCTTGTGGTTTGGGGAGCTGGGAAATAGTGCCATTCTGGTGGATAAGGTCTCTGCATCAGAAAGGAAACTGAGGCAGGGTTGGGGTTGGTAGGGTGGTCTTTGTAGTGATTTGCCCAATATCAAGCAGGCAGTATGAAGGGACACCTGACCCCCATTAGCCACATGATTAAGAGAAGCTCTTAATCACTGGCAGGCCTTGGGTAAGGGCTCTGATGTCAGCCCCTTAGTCTGCCGCCCCCGCTCTTTGCCTCCCAGAGTAGCTACCCAGCCAAGGACAGGGCCACCTGCCTACCTGCTGGGCCTGGGTGCTGCTTGGGCTGGTGCCTTTGCCTCTGGCCCCCATACACTTACTGAAGCCAGCCCAGCATGCTGGGTACCGCGGTCCTACTGCTGGCCCTGTTTCCAAGGATCTCCACCTTGCCAAGCTGGCCACCTGGTACGTAGGGACAGGGAGACATATATGTCTTCATGCTCCCATTCTTGCACCATCCTTTCTGGACCTCCCATCTACCTTGCCTGGGGTAATGGGTGGGTGGGTGGGCAGTGAGGTGTACCCCTGTCCCCCAACTTCTTCAAAGTCCCCAGCAGCCATGTGAGATCAAGGAATGTGGGAAGGAAGGGGTCTGTGCAAATGATTTTAGGGAATGTGTGTGTGGGGGTCATCATGAATGTTCAAGAGAAGGACCCAGCTGAGTGCCTCCTGAAGGCAGACATCTGTATGTCCATGTGTGCACTGCATGTGTTGGTGCTCCCCAGTGCCTCTACCCTTTGCTGCCATTGCCCTCAACCTGGGAGTGAAGAATCTGGACAAATGGCAAAGCCCCAGAGCCTGGTGTGCTGGCTGAGCTTCAGCTGTGCCAGAGGGCTGTGGGAGAGCACCCCTATCCTCCCCACTCCCTTCTGTTGTTGACAGCACCTATTTCCCCTTAGAAAGGGAAGGGTAGAGCCAGCACACTCCTGGCCCCAAGCTGGCCCTATTGCAGCCCTAGGCCCCCCATGCCCTTACCAGCCTAGAATTCCCTTGCTCACTGTTGGGGAGGAAATCAAGCTCTAGCAAGGGGAGCCCCTCACCAGGGGCACACAGCTTTGTGCCAAGCCTCAGCTGCTGGGCTATGATACCTCAGTGGGCTCCAGGAAGTACATAATAGCTGCTATCCTAATGGTAGTGAAGGGGGAGCTCACTGTGGGTGAATTCTCCACTGCATGCATTTCCCAAAGGAGGCCAAGAGGTTGAATCCTTTGCCGAAGGGGCAGCCAGTACTCCTCTGTGCCCCCCCTTTCTCCGCTGCCAGCGCCCCCGTTTCCAGCGGCGCCCCCCGGGTCATGGCTGCGCCGACCCCTTTTCAGTCTAGAGCTCTCAGACGCGCAGGACACTTTGCAACGCCGCGCAGGGCCACTCGAGGTCCCTGCAGACAGCCGTGTGTTCGTGCAGGTGCGGATGAGGGGCGAGCCGGGGTGAGGCGGGCCGGGCAGGTGGGGGCAGTGGATCCTGAAGTCCACACTCCACCACCTCCCACCCAGGTGGCCCTGGCCCGTCCCTCCCCGCGCTGGGGCCTTGCCCTGCACCGCTGCTGGGTAACGCCATCCTCCCGTCCAGCCCCGGGGCCCGCCCTGGCGCTGCTGCACGGGGGCTGTCTCACCGATTCTTCAGTCACCTTCCTGCCACCGCTCGGTGGGGCTGCTCCGCCACAGAGCCCTGAGGCTGTTCGCTTCAGTTTCCGTCTGCACCAGGTCTTCAACGCCTCTGTGCAGTTCTTGCACTGCCAGCTGAGTCGCTGCCGCCGCCGCCGCCGCCTCCGCCTCCGCCTCCAGGGAGCCCGCCGGACTCCTGCGCCTCTGTCGCTACCGCCCCAGTCACCTGTGCGAGAGTGCAAGACAGGGAGTCTGGGCTCCGGGGGCTGGTCGGGGGCTAGGCAGGAGTGCCTCCAGCATCTGGAGAAACCTCTCGGGGGTTTGGGATTTTGGAGTTAGGGCTCTTTGGAACCTGGGGCACAGGTCCCTCGGAGCTGAGGGTAGGCACTGGGTCTCTTTAAGGCTATGGGCTGGGCACTGGGTGCTTGAGGGGACCGTGGGGCTCTGTGCAAGGGTTCTTCAGGGTACAGGAAGTAGTAGGCAATGAATTCCCTCATGGACAGAGCACTGGGATTTCCTCGGGCAGGACTCTGAGGTCCCTCTAGGGCTGGATGGTTGGATAAAGAAAGCCACTAAAGGGGCCAAATCTCTGGGTACCTAAAGTTGGACTTCACAGAAGGTTAGGTGCTCAGATATCCGGGTTGTGTGACCTTGGGGGCTGAAATTTGGAGTCTTTGGGGGCTGTGCGGCTGGCTGCTTGTATATCTTATGGGCTGGGCTCAGGGATCCCCAAGTGGCCGGATTTCCAGGGGTCTGGTGGTGGGACTCCTGGTTGCAAAGAGTACTGGATACTTCGATCTCTTGGGAGCCCTGAGAACCATCCCCTGTATCCCGGGTGCCTCACGTCTCCGTCCCTCTACTCCTCCCAGTGTCTGCCTCAGGATAAGGCGTGCGCCAGCACTGGCAGTGGCAGCAGCGAGAGTCTGGGTGCTGACGGCCCCCACCTGCACACGCTGACGCAGCCCATTGTGGTCACGGTGCCACGGCCGCCCCTCAGTGAGCGTGCAGTCCTGCTCTGCGGGGTCCTCGGGGCAGGAGAACTGGGTTTGGGAGGACTTATGGGGCCTGGGCCCAGTCTTAGAGTTGTACTCCCCACAGGGCCAACCAAGGGTGTCCCCAGCAGAGCCGTACACCTGGAGAAGCCTCCTGCGCCAGCCCCGGTGGCCCTGGAACCCACTCCAGTGGTAGCACTGGTGGTGGCCGCGTTCTTGCTGGGTGCCGCGCTGGCCGCTGGGCTCGGCCTTGTGTGCGAGCATTCAGGTACCAGCCTTGACCCGCCGGGACTTTCGCCTGGCCCCCAGCCTATTCCGGCTATTCAGGACCTGGGGTCCACGCGATCCTAGCCAGCGGGGCCTGATCATCCTTACACGTGTCTCCCTTACGCCCGCAGCAGCCTCCAGGGGGCGCCTCTGCACCAGACCAGCATTCAGCAACCCCTTCCGCTCCGCAGCCTGCCTCTTCCTTCAAGGGCCCCCACGTACCGGCCCACCCCCTGGCCCAACCCTGAGAGCCTCCCCTACCAACCCCCAGCCCAGAAGACCCCAGTGAGGCAGGTAAGAGAGAGAGAGAGAGAGAGAGAGAGAGAGAGAGAGTGTGTGTGTGTGTGTGTGTGTGTGTGTGTGTGTGTGTGTGTGTGACTTAGGGTCCATAGGAGAGCTGGAGGAAGGAGGTGATGATAATGACTCTTTATAGCCCTTTCTCTGTGCCTGGCAGAGTTCTAAATGTTTTACATATATTACCTAGTTTAATCCTCATAAAAACCTTCAGGTAGATACTATTATAATCCCCATTTTAGAGATGAGAAAAATGAGGCACTCTGAAGTTAAGTAATTTATCACAGGTCACAAAATTTGGTGGAGCTGGGATTCAAACTCAGGCAGCGCAGCCAGAGGGCACTAAGGCGAGAATTTGGGATTCAGACCTAGCATCCTCACCCCCGCTCACAGGCTGATAGGGGAAGCCAATGATCAGTTTAGGACAATCTATGTAGTGTCCTCTTTCTAGCGTAGCCTGCCTGGACTGCCCCTTCTAGGGATGGCGCGCCCCCAGCAGAGTCCAGAGATGCACCAGCCAGACTTAGGTCAGACTATATTCGCCAGCCAGTCTGGACCGGCCGCCGCTGACCTCGGACTCCATAAGACCACGATCCCTGATCCCCGTCCCCCTCACTCCTTCTCCCACCTGGGCTCAAAATAAACATCTGGTCTGATGCGCTGAGTTCTGAAGTGTGCTCAGGGTTCGGGGGTGGAAGACAAGAAGCGAAAGCTTAGCATAAGGACTGGGATTCTGGGCTGGAAGAGGTCTGCACTAGAGGGGTAGAGCTTGGGAATAGGGCTCATATGCCCATATGCTTATGTGCAGATAGGGGCCAGGGGAGACCCAAGGGCATTCTGTCCCAAACAGAAAGGGGCACCCGACCCACCAGGTTAAATTTTAAATTCCTCCACCCCCCACTGGACCACCTGCCTCTTTAGATCTTCCCCAAAACAGGCCTTCTCTGCTCTCCACTCGCACCGCCCGGACTCTGTGCTAGCTAGGGCCTGGACCTCCAACATCTGTTCCAGTCTCCTCTCCTGTCTAGTCTGGAGCTCCTTAAATCCTTCCTGTCCGAGGTCCTCTCTCCCCTGAGTGTTGACAAGTGCGAAACAACTAGTTCCATTTTACAGATGAGACTACTGAGGATGGGTACAGCTAAATCACTTACTCAAGGTCCCCAGGGTTGGGCGACCCCACAGCCCAGGCTCGTGGCTATGACTGGGCAGCTGCCTTTCCAGCTAGGAGCCATCCCTCTTTGAGAAGCACTGTAGGAGTTTCACGAGACAGTCCAGAAATGGAGAGACCGCACGAGATCTAAGGTCTGGGCTCCAGTTTACAAGTAAGATAAAATGCGGATGGAGAGGGGAATCACGTTCGCCCCCGCCAGTTGGGATGTCAGCTTCTCCATTTCTCATCTACATGGCTCCCTCTGTCTCGCAGAACCACACCCCCCCGTCTGTTTCCACTTCCGCGTGGTGCTTTATGGCCCCAGCGGCCTCCGTAGCCCCGCCCCCCAGGGAAGCGGCCCAGCAGCACCAACACTGTTTTCACCGGCATGAAGCCCCCACAACGACGACGAGCTGCCCCCGTGCGCTATCTGGGCGAGGTGACCGACACCACCGTCTGGAGCACCCGTGAGAAGCGGCAGCTGCTCCGATTACTGCAAATGCGGCGGGGCCAACTGGAGCCAGACGCGGCTGAGCTGGCCAGGGAGCTGCCAGGCCGGAGCGAGTCCGAGGTGAGGGTATCCCGGGAAGGGAGCGAGGCTGGAGGCGGACCTAAGATGTGTCCCGGGTGGGTGCCGGGTGTAGGACTACTGGCGTGGCGTGGGCAGGATAAGTAAGCTCGAGGATGGGGGCGGGGCAAACTTGGCAAGACTAGCGGAGGTAAAATTTAGGGGCGGGGCGAACTCCGACAAGGACTGATTGGAGACTCTGACGGGGCTGTCAGGATGGATAGTACTGCGAGACTAGCAATGTGGTTGAAATGAGAATCAGGAAATGGATGGAGTAGAAGCAGCAGGGAGGTGAATAGGGTACTCTATGGGGAGGATCTTACTTTTTGTTGTTAATCCTCACCGAAGGATATTTTTTCCGTTGATTTATAAAGAGAGTAGAAGGGAGGGGGAGGAAGAGAGAGAGAAAGAGAGGGGAGTGAGAAACATCAATGTGAGAGAGACACGTCGATTGGTTGCCTCTCGCACGCGCCCCAACAGGGCCAGGGATCGGACCTACAACCCAGGTGCCTTTGACTGGAATCGAACCCTCGACCCTCCAGTGCACGGCGGACCCTCTAACCACTGAGAACGCCGGCCAGGTCTGGACCTTACATTTTTATTAGGTCACACCTGGGCCTTGGCCCCAGACACTGGGCATTGTCGCTGTGACCCTTAACATCTGGCTAGTAAGAGGCAAGAAGCAGTAGCCACCTCTGGAGCAGGCAGTGGTCCTTGGTCTCTCTCCCCCAGCCCTGGGTTTGTAGAAGGCCCATTTGGTCTCCTCCTTTCTCTTCCCCAGATTCGGGATTTCCTCCAGCAGCTCAAGGGCCGTGTGGCCCGGGAAGCCATTCAGAGGGTGCATCCAGGTGGCCTAAAGGGTCAAAGGCATCTGGAAACACCGACCCCAGCTCCCATCGAGGTGAGGCAGGGCAAGACTCCCCAGGGCTAGTCCCTGGAAGATGGGGTGGGAGTCGGAGGATAACTGTCAGGGGATCCTCAGGATGAGCAAGGTTTGGGTTCACCCCTAGGCTGACCATGTACTCTCTGGTTGCCCCACCCAGGTATGGATGGATCTGGCTGAGAAGATAACAGGCCCGCTGGAGGAAGCCCTGATTGTGGCTTTCTCACAGGTACAGCCATCCTCTAGAGAGGCCAGGGGTATCCCTGGGGAACAGGGTAATACATAAGAGCCTAAATAAGGTGGATCTGTGTCCTGGGCTCTTTCTCTTGCCAATTCTGTGACTCTGACCAGTCACTGGACACCTTGAGCCTCGGTATCTACCCTCTGAGGCCATCTCCTATATGTGACACCTTCTTTGGGTGAACAGGTGGAGGTGGAGGGCTCAGCACAGTTTGCAGGGAAGGGGAGTGGCTGAAGGGAGGATTTCTGCCTTTCCTATCCTGATCTCTCTGCCTGACAGGTGCTCACCATCGCAGCTGTGGAGCCCATCAGCCTCCTGCACTCCAAGCCCTCCAAGCCAACCCAGGCTCGAGGAAAACTACTAGCCCTTAACACCTCTAGCAGACAGGAGAACTGGGGCCCTGAGGTGCCTGACCCCGCCCCTGAGACACCTCCTGAATTCCTGGATGGCCCTTCTGTTGAGAGAGACCTTGAAGTGGACTTTGAAAAGATCTACAAGTACCTGTCATCCATCTCCCACAGCTGCTATGGCCTTGAGCTTTCTGCATCTGGTGAGAAGAATGGGGAATGGGGGCTGTGGAGGTGGGGTCCCAGGCAGCAAGCCTGCCCTTCTCTTACCCCTCCCCTCTCCATCTACCACTAGAGTCAGCTGTGGTCCTTGACCTGCTTATGGCACTTCCTGAGGAGCTGCCTCACCTGCCCTGTGTAGCCCTGGTTGAACATATGATGGATACATACCTATACCTGATGGCCCCCCAGTCTGACCCCAGCAGTAGGAGCCTGGGATCAGAGGCTGAGGATTGTGGGACTGGCTCTGGGGTGCAAGAGGAGGCCAGCCAGGCCAATCCCCGGGCCCCTATGAATGCCAGGCCCAGCAAACCTAGATCTGTCTGGCAAGCAGCTGGGGTCTGCCCTCTGAACCCATTTCTGGTGCCCTTGGAGCTTCTGGGCCAGGTGGTCACCCCTGCAAAGTGAGGGGCCCAGCAGGCAGAGGACACACCAGCCAGACTTCTGTAAGCCTCTAGCGCTCAACTCTGCTTGGGCTATCACTGGGTATTCATGAGGAAAATCTCTGGCTTGGTGTACAGTATGAAGTGGCCTTTAAGACATTCCATATAGTAGCAGTCTTGGAAATGGAAGCCAGTTGTATAGTTCAGCCACAGAATTGAGGTGGAGGCAGCCAGATGGCTGGGCTAAAACCATCATCAAATACTCCCTCCCCACATTGGTGCCTCCTTCCTGCATTCTGTTGCGTATGCTCTATAACTGAATAAAATTGTCAATCTGCCTCACTTTTTTTTTTTTTTAAGTTGACAGAAAGGAAGGCAGAGAAAGAAACATCAGTTTGTCGTTCCACTTATTTATGCATTCGCTGGTTGATTCTTTTTATTTTTTTAATATCTTTTTATTAGTTTTTTAGGGAGAGGTAAACATTGATGTGAGAGAGATACATTGATCGGCTGCCTCCTGCACGCCCCCTACTGGGGATCAAGCCCTCAACCTTGGCATGTGCCCTGACCAGGAATCAAATTAGACCTCTCAGTCCATAGGACAATGCTCAATCTACTGAGCCACACTGGCGGGGCTCACTGGTTGATTCTTGTATGTGCCCTGAGTATCAAACCCACAACCTTGGTATATCAGGATGGTGCTCTAACCAACTGAGCTACCTAGCAAGGGTTGTCTCGCTCTTTTTTCTGATCTACAGAGCCCTGGCTGTGTGCTCAGTGGTTAGAGCACTGGCCCACACTCTAAAGGGTGGGTTAGATTCCCAGTCAGGGTTGTGTACCTGGGTTGCAAATTCGATCCCCAGCCCTGGTCAGGGTGCATGCAGGAGGCAACCAGTTTTGTCTCTCTCACATTGATGTTTCTCTCTCTCCTGCTCCCTCCCTCTGTTTCACTCTCTCTAAAAATCAATGGAAAAAATATCCTCGGTTGAAGATTAACAACAAAGGTGACAGTGGTGGCTCAAAGTACAGAGGGAGATTTTAGAGGTGGGAGAGACAGAGCTTAGGGTCTTCGGGACTGAGGAGGGCATGTCAGGGAGGTGGTATGGCCACCAAAGGCTACCACTGACAGGCCTGCTCCAAAGCTACTTGGAGTGACCTCAGTTTGGCTATGAGGGGACCCTTGGTGATTACATGGAGGGTCAAGACAAGCCTGAGCCTGACAGGTGTCAGGGAAAGGTTTTCTGACAGGGGTGACCTTACATCATACAGATGGAAGAGGGACAGCAGCAGAGTGAGGGCGTGTCAGGTGAAATGAGTCTTTGTACTTAATGAGACCATGACACTGGCACCAGGACCACCAGTTTACCCCTGAAGGTAATCCATAATCACCTGAAAGGAATGTTCTTACATAGATACGTGCCTCCTTTCCCTTATGGTATGGAGCCACTCCTGTCTGTAAGTTCCCTTAGTGAACTCTTGATATCATTCAGTTTCCCAATAGGGCAGCCAGGAGCCAAGCCCAAGGCTGGGGGGGTGGGTCTGAGGGTTAGGGGTGGGCTGTCGCATGTTGCAGGTTAAAGAGGGTCCCTGAGGTAACCTTGGGGGAGCAAAGGGAGGAGGAGCAGAGCTGGGTAGAGTAGGAAGCTGGAGTCCCAGCTGCTATCAACAGCCCCCAAATTCTTGGAGGTGCTGTTAAGTTTCCTTGCAAGGGGTTCCCCCTCCACCAGCCTCCAAGGGTGTGGGTTCAGGGGCAGGTTGGGGAGGGCAAGACAGGAACCAGTTGTTCTCCCATGGAAAGGTATTCCTCCAGGCCTAACTAGTCCTCTGAGAATTGGTAAATTTTCTGTTCAAGAGCCTGTGCACTCAATCAGCCTTCCTTTTATAGAAACCCTCACTTTTCCCCACATACATTGCACTTGGCTCCCCCAGGGTGCACAGCACAACACATCTCCCAGGCAGCTGCAGTCAGCCCATTCCATGATCATGACCCCCCCCCCCCAATACACCTGATGATGGTGGGGAGAAGGGACCAGGGTCAGAGGGGTTTGGAGCTGAAGATGCAGTCGTTGCAGCAGGAGGCATGCTAGCTCTTGGAGTCCACCTCCAGGCTGGCTGAGGGCACCTCATCCCAACTTCCCACTCAGCTAAGTCCATCCCACAGCCCCCAGAGTCTCCCGAGGTCAAAGGAAAGAGGAGGGTGTCTTGGCTGTACCTGGAGCTGGGAGTATTAAGGTGGTAACACACCAATCCCTCAAAGTGTGAGTCTGGGTGTCTTTGCAGCACTGGGCAAGAAGGTGCTAATTCAGCTTGCTGCTTGGCTCAAATAAGTGCTCAATAATAACTTTTATTATCACCATCAGCTAAGAGGCAGAGTTAGAAGGCATGGGGGGCAGGGTGATGGTTTAGGGATATGGCAGGGGGGATCAGGGAGGTGGCAGGGTTGTCAGTGACTGGCATACGGAGGTGGTGACTGAGGGAGGGGTGTGCTGATCTGACTGGGGCCTGGGCTGGAGACAGGAGTGAGTCTGCCCATGCTTTGCCCTCAAGGACTGTGCCAAACATCCTGCACACAGCAGCCATTGTTGCTCTTCAGGCTCGGTCTCAGGGCAGGAGGCACTGGGCATATTGGTATGCAGCATCCACCCAGTGGGTGCAGGAGGGAGCCCAAGGAGGGGTTCAACACCTATGGGATGGAGTAGTGGGATGGACAGATGACAGGGGAGGGGGAAGACAGGAGTCCCTGCATCCAGGAAAGGACATAACATTTATACTAGCGGCAGGAGAACAGCAGAGCCACCTACACGCTGCGGGGTTGGTAAGTTTGGGTGCAAGGGCAGGATAAAGGCACCAGGTGGGGGCTCTGGCTTGCCAAGGAGGGATGATGATAAGGGCCTGAGGGGATGGGGAGGGGCTGAACTTCTCACATCCTCCCCTTTGGGCTGGGCTCTAGGACAGGATTCTGAGCAGGTCTGGGTCGGCAGCACCCCTGATGGGTGGGCCGCAGGACAGCGATCCAGATCCACGGGAGGGACACCGAGGATGCCAAGGCTCAGACCAGCGCGTAGTCGAATTGGCCACGCTCCAGCGCCTCCTTGTGGTCGGTCCAGGATGAGGCGGGCATGCGGCTGTAAGGGTCAAGCAGGATGCGCACGCAGCGCACCATCAGCAGCACCAGCACCACGAGCAGGCACAGCACGAAGGCGAACACTGTGCGCTGCTCGGCGTCCAGGCCTGCCCCCACCGGGGGCCCCGTCGACGGCGGCAGCGGCTCGGGGGACAGCGTCCAAGTATTGCTCATGGCTCACATCGCCGCGAGCCCTGTGGATAAGGGTCACCCCGGGAGCGGCTATGAGGCTGTGCCTTCCCACATGGCCCCCTCGCCTGTCTGCCCTCTCGTCTCCCGGCAACGCCCATGAGCCACCCGTAGACACACCGCCATGCGGAGACCCAAATCCACATGGGCGGGGGCGCTGAGAGCAGGAAAAGGGGAATCCCGACCTGGCCAACTAGCACACAACAGGTGTGACCATTCAGCCCGCGGGCACGGCAGTAATCTTCCCCATCCCCCACCTGCTTGTCTTTGTTCCCGGCATCCCGGGGACCCCTTCCCCCACCACTCCTGCTGTTCCCCTCACCCTGGCCTCGACCATGACAGGAACCGAACGCCCAGCAGCCGTGCTCTCCTCCAGGACCCGGGCCGGCTCAGCTCTCGGATTCTCCCTGGCGGTGGTGATGGCGGCGGCGGCGGCGGCGGCAGCAGCAGCAGCAGCAGCAGGAGCAGCCGCCACCGCTGCCGGGGCTTAGCCCACCCAACCCGCCCCTGGAGCGGCAGAGACAGAAGCAGGCGAAGCCCAAGAGAGCCAAGCCAACGCGGCTGTTTCCATAGCGACGGAGGCGGAGGCAGCGCAGGGAGTGGCGCACAGCAGCGACCCCGCCCCAGTCTCGGGATCAAGGCTCTCTGGCCCAGAACTTCAGGCATCCAGAATCCCACCCTCTCCACCCCCACAAGCACCCCAATGCTTCCATCCAGATCCTAGCCTCTGCACCCCCATTCTTCACGATGAACCCTTTGCCTAGGCTCCCTGTTTGGGGATCTCAATCGCCCCCTAACCAGCACCACTCATGGGTACTTAAGCTCCCCCAGCCCTAGGGACCCCAACCCTCAACCCTCTAGGCCAGGTCATGGAAAACCTCCCTAGCTTTTCTTGTTACTGGTCTCCTTCCCCCACAGAGGGGTGCAGGGTCCTAACCAGTCAAGGCGCCCCTCTAAGTCAGCAGTGACCTTGACTGCCTGCCATGACCATCTGGCCCACTCAGCCACCCCAGTGACAGACATCTCAGACAACCCAAGTTGCTCTCCTGCACTTTGGTGTTTTATTATCACTTCCAAATCTCAGCCATACAGGTTAATAAGGGCATACATTTTTTTTTTTTTTTAAGTGAAAATAAAACGGCCTGGCTGATGTAGCCAGTGGGCCCCACTACTCTGTCCTCAGAGGAGTCCCTGGGCCAGAGCCTCTTGGAATTGTCTGGCCTGTGTGCCTTGGTGACCTTCTCTGCCAGTAGCCCCTGAGCAGCAGAGAGTAGTGTAGGGGCTGGCACTGTAGGGAGCAGCCCTCCACAGTTCCTGGCTCTTCCCTGTCCAGCTGGTTCTGCAGCCACCCTGGCAGACAGTCCTGTCCCCAGAGGTCTGTTGACACAGGTGGACATCATCCCCACCCCGTGCAGCTGCCCTGCCATGATACAGCCCGGGACACCTGGCCATGGCAGAGCTCAGAGGACCTGCTCTGTGCTGGAAGCAGAGATGTCCAGGAGCCGCCAGGCTGCATAGGGGTTGAGCTCATCCTGGTCCCGGCACAGTGCCCATACATACAGCATACGCAGCACCTTGTCCTGCAGGAGTGGGAATAGGTATGGGCCCAGGGGCAGAGAGCAGCACAGCAGGATGAGGCTGCCAGGTCAGGGCATGGGGGATGTTGGGAAGGACCAGGACGGGGCGTTGGGGTGTGGGTCGGGGGTCCAGAGCAGAGGCTGGGACAGAGCCTAAAACTCAGGACTTAGTAAAACTGGACAGGTCACTCTCTGACTTCCACCAGGCCCAATATGGGCCCTGGGACTTCTCAAGGCACCACCCTGCTGTCCCTTCCAAGTCACAGAACCTCTGGCTCAACTGCCACCAGTGCAAGGTGGCTGATCACTGCCATCCAACTGGTCCTGGGATGGCCGCCTGCCCATCCGGCACCCTCCCTCACTCACCGGGTCGCCCTCGACCACCTCGCCTTTGGGGTTCTTGATCACCATCACCAGCTGGGCGTGGAAGGTGACGATCAGCACGGGCCCCTGCTCCATCATTTTGCCCATGGCCAACTGTGGGGGGAGCCAACAGGATGGGTGGACCTCACTGAACAGTCCCTTGCCACTTTTCTGCTGCTCCCCTTGACGTGGAGACCCTGGTTCCTGGGATGCTGCCAGGAGGAGGCCCCAGCACCTCAACATCTCAACTCATCACCCAGGAGAGACCCTGAGGAGCCACCCCAATCAGTACTCCAAGGCTATCACCTCCTGCTGGCCTGTTTATGTGTAGGGATTTCCCAGAAGTCCCTTCCCCTGTACAAGTCCGAGCCCTCCACTGAGATGGAATCTGAATTGCTGAGAACCCATGTGGGCTCCCAACACACTGGCAGCCTCTTAGTCCCCTCCTGGGGCCGTGCAGGGGCACAAGGACCTCACAGAGCTGGGTGCCTGGCTTCTCTCCCCCTGGTCAGGTGCGGGGAGAGAAGCTAGTGCTGGCATGCCTTCAGCCCTGTACAGGGAGGAAATTGGGGTGACTGTGGCACAGCAGACCTTCAGCAGCCTGAGAAGTCCTGACAAAGCCCCACTCTTCCCAGTGAAAGTGCAGGCATACCACTGCCTTGGGGGATCCTGGGGGCCCTGAGGTCTGGGCAGCAGCACCCTCTATGCTCACCACTTGCTTAAGGATATTCCAACCATAGGACTATGGAAATCTTTCACTGCAAGGAACCATTGAGGTCATTTAATCGAAGTGCCCTTCTATGCTGGAACTCCTCCAGGGATGAGGAGTTCACTCCTCATGCCGATCAGTATACCTTCCCAAACCCAAGGTCCACCCAGCTCACCCAGGAAGAGGCACTCACATCAACATTGTCAATGTCCAAGATACGGGAGTGGAACTGGAGGCCCAGCGCTTTGGCCTGCTTGATCGGGTGAGCCAGCTGGCTATAGGTCTGCAACAAGAGGTCAACATGCCCATCTAAGGACCACCCAAGCCCAAGCCACACCAAGGCACCATACCACAGGAGAGGGCTGGTGCACCCGCTAAGGCCTGCCCACCCTGGGCCAGTGCCAGCATCCTGGGACACTCTTGCTGCAAGCAGCTCACAAGCAGAGTTTCCTGATTTCAACTCCTGCATCTTCCAGAAATGGCCATGGTGCCTGATTGTGCTACATCACGAGCGGCAGATGCCAGAAGCATGGGTCTAAGCAAAGAGGCGGTGCCACTAGTTTGCTGGACCAAGTCACATACTTCCTTCTCATTATAAAGACAGCACTGTGGCCCAGCTGGTGTGGCTCAGTGGATTGAGTGCTGTCCCATAGACTGAGAGGTCCTAGTTCAATTCAATGAGGGCACATGCTCGCAACCCGGGTTTGATCCACAGTAGGGAGCGTGCAGAAGTCAATCCATGTTTCTCTCTCATATCAATGTTTCTATCTTTCTCTCCCTTCCTCTCTCTCTAAAAAAAAAATCAATAAAAACATATTATAAAAAAAAAAAGAAGACAGCATAGTGTCAGGACTACCAAATGAAATAGGTAACCCTCCTGGAAAGCCATCTGAAATGCACTCGCAGGGTTATGTTGAAGCCTGCTTGGCTGATCTTAAATGCTCCCACATTTACCTCCAAGTCTTGGCCTGGAATCAAATGCTTTTTCTAGGATTTGCCCTAACCATAGGTGGCTCTGAAACTAACTGCCTTGTTCTCACTGACTAGCTCTTTGTAGATAGTTGACCACTGCAGGCAGCCTGTACTTCCTATGGAGATAGTGGAGCCCCAAATGACACTCTTAATCCCCTCATGCCTGTTACCAGATCCAAAACACAGCCTCTGGGACATGTGCAGCCTCATGTCGCAACAGGCAACCACAACAGAAGACATTCCAATAGAGAAAAAAATATGATGCCTATCCTATTTCTTGTGAGGTTTCTTAAAAGATGACATTTATAAAACACCTTTGTGGGGGTGGCGGGGGAGAGATAAACCACAGAACTTATGTGCATGTATGCATGAACAATGGACATGGACAACAAAGCTGGGGACAGGGGGGAATCAGTGGGGGAAAAGGAGAAACATCTGTAACAAAAATTAATTAATTAATACAAAAAATAAAAATAAAACATAAAAGTCAAAGAAAAATAAAAAACACCTCTGTGAGTAGCTACAACTTCAGCTGTGTTTTCCGGGGGCACCAGCAGTTCTCTGGCAAAGAGAATCTACCATGACCTAATGGTCCCAAAGTTTAAAAAAAACAAAACAAAAAGAAAACTTGTAACTGACTGCTGGATTAGTCACCATGCAGGGGTGCTTTTAAAAAGAAAACCTGACAACTTCTCTGCTTTTTCCAAATTGTTTTTGAGCTCGCACAGAATAGAATCAACCATAAAAGCCTCTGAATTGCTTAATACAAAGAAGATAGAAGAGCCCAGCCGGTATGGCTCAGTGGTTGAGCATTGACCCATGCACCAAGAGGTTGCTGGTTCGATTCCTAGTCAGGGCACATGCCCAGAGTGTGGGCCAAATCCCCAGTGAGGGGCATGCAGGAGGCAGCCAATCGATGTTCTCTCTCATTGACGTTCCTATCGATCTCTCCCTCTCCCTTCCTTTCTCTGTAAAATCAATAAAGGAAAAAAAAAAGATGAAAGAAAACACCCCATGAAGACACAGGTTAGGAAGTGAGCAGGGTGAAGCGAGGTGGCCAGAGAAGATGGAAACCCTGATGGGACAAGGAGGCTGCCAGGAACAGGGCAGACAGTGTGCTCCTAGTGACACTTGACCTGCCTCCTCATAGCCTAGCACCACCTGTGACTCTTGGACCCCCAAGCCCTGACTCTGGGGAAGTAGTGGGGTCTCATCAGGACCCATGGCTCTGCCCCACGCAGGGTATTTATTAGTGTCTATTTTTATCTGTATTCTGGAATCTTGATGCAAGAATAGCTTATGATGCCCTAGCCCAGCGGTTCTCAACCTGTGGGTCGCAACCCCTTAGGGGGTTGAACGACCCC